GGAGGTCAACACCAACCCTACAAGGTCTCTTTCTTTGATTCTTTTTCTAATCCTTCCCATTTATCGATCTAGACAAATATAAGATTCCTACCTTATTCTATCCTAACGCTCTAGAAAGTGAATACCAAATACCCTCTTTATATCTCGTTTCTTGCTTTTTGCTTCTCGCTTCTCACTTCTCGCTTCTTGTATCTCGCTTCTCACTTCCAATACCTCATATCCTACCCCTCTAAAAAGACACCATTCAATCAGGACTTTTTCAGCTAGGTACTATTACTACTTTAGCATTTCTTCAGGATCGATTCGAGTCGACAATCGTTCCACTGAGCCTTTACCATTCTTATTAGTCCAAGACCAATTTCCCACTCATCATTTATAATTCAAGTCCTTATAACTTCATTACCCTTTGTCTAAAGTTGATTCTCCGAGAAAAATTGCTCCAAAAGACGAAAATACAACACCAAACCCTCCGCATCAGAACTTGCAGACTATAAAAGTCGCCAGCAAAAATAACAGGTACATCCCCAAAAACTCGGTATATTTCTATAACACAACGAGAATGTATAGATTCATAAGCAATTTCAAGCAGAAACTGTTTAAGGATAACTGCAGTGAGATATAGCTAACAAAAGAAAAGTGAATACTAATATATATTATATTTCTTCGTAATGCTAATTATATATAGTTATCTCCAAGCTATGAAGGTGTATGTGGTTAGCGATCGGAATGTCTACTATAAGATCGAAAATGAGAAGAAACCGAACAATGCCAAAAACCTTGGTAATAAGATGAAGTTGGATGTAGAGGAATGGAACAAAATTCCCCATAACATTACAAAGGATATCGCGTGGTTTAAGATTCTGTTAGACAAGATCGATTGTGACACTTTATTAATTACAGATGATCGCTGCATTGTTGAGATGAGAGCAGATTATGTATAGGGATCTAGCTTAACGATATCCAAATCACGTTTGACTCTGGTAAGTTTCTGGCAAGTTTCTGGCCTGGTCAAAACAAATTGGGTGAAGTATGAATGTTTGCGAGAAAGGTACTACGAATTATGAAGGAAGGAGGAGTGGATTTGGATGCGTTGAAGCTAGAGGATTTTGGTATGTAGAGTTATTTATTCATTTCAACTCTTTCAAAGCATCATAAATTAACAAATTCTTAGTTCGTCAACCTAAGGCCAAGGAAGCGGATCAAAGTGGAATTGAAGCAGAGGGTGAGGGTAATGATAATGAGAAGGAAGGGGAGGAGGAGGGCGACGATAAGGGGAAGGGTGATAATAAGGAGGATGAGGATTATGAAGAGGATGATGAAGGCAAGAAGGGGGATGAAGAAATTGTTGGAGATGAAATTGTGTCGGCTAAGGCAAGCTTGAATGTTGATGAGCCAGGAGAAGTAATGGGTTCTCAACCATCCGACTTGTCCTACCCACTCGATGATGAATCACGGGAACGACCAATGTCTTCAGAACCTGAAAATGATCATCTCGAGTTAGCGGAAGGGTGTATTGAGCGAATGGCTCGAATGGATCAGATGTATCCAACATCGTCAATTGAGAAAGAGAGGACACCATCTTAGTCATTGAAGCGATCAATCAATGAAGAATCTCCAAGTGTCGCAGTTAAGAGAAGACGCAGTGAAAGATCAACGGAATCCTTTGGTTTCGATAGAGAGATCAACAAGCTTAAGCGAAGTTTCGCTGAGCTTGAGTTGACGCTTGATGGAGAAAAGGAAGAAGAAAGTCTTTAGCAGGAACAGCTTCAAGCATCAAGTACCAAGAAAGTATCCAAGAGTTGATAGAAGAGACTATGCAAGGCTGCTACTACCAAGAAAGTCAAGCAAACGGATAAAGTGGTGGAACATTTTAGTGAGGAAGATGATGATGAAGGAGTAGAGGAATCAGAGGACGGCCAGATTGTTGCTCCTCTATAACTCAAGCTTATCCTCAAGCAGCCGGCTGGTGACAATGCGAAGAGCAAAGTTTGATATCTGATTTTGATTTATTTACCAGGTGGTTTGGTTGGGTGGTTCGGCGAATGGTATATGTATTTTTTTCTTACGGCAAACCAGAGATGCCTTACCTAGCAGTGGATAAATCTGTGTGAACGAAGTGAATGACTTCAATTCAATTACTACTGTAATAAAGAACTAAGCGAACGCGAAAGAGACTAGCTCTTTTAGTAAGTCTATATAAGACTTACTACTTTCAATATGTAGCTAGCTCTTTAGACAGAATACAATTAGACATACAGGACCTACATAATCCGTGGGTGCTACGTCTTCCGTATCCTTCTCGTACCAACAAAATCTTTATAGGAGCGAAATGGAATTACAGGAATATTTTTATTATCTATAGTGAAGGATGGAGATACAATATTTTACACAATGTGGCACGAGCTACAGCTTATATGGTCATCATAGCATTCATCTAATTATATAGATACAGCGTTGAATATAAAGAAAAATACATGTTAATCGAGACTTCATCAAGCGCTTGTAGGCTAAAGGTATTGTGGTCGTATAATTTAAAAACCTGGGTCCTGTGGAACACGTTTATTGTGCCCACTCATTCTGTGTCACATTTCAAGCTATTATTAAAGCTCTCATTCTACGATTTCATCAAAATGGTTTTTTGTTTCTCTTATTTATTGGCAATGCTTCGACAATTCGATATTTGGAACTGGTTATGGACTTTTTATGTAGAGTGTCATCCCCTATTATTGTCTGGTGTGATTGTTTACGAAATTTGCAAATCGATTCTAGATTCAGCTAATATAGTAAACTGGTCAAGTACTATTCGAAAGTTAGAAGTTGGTGAACATTCAATGCCTAGAACATAGGGAAAGACAGGTTTGCCGTCGAACAAGACATTTATTGAAGTCTGTAAAGGTTTCGGGTAAAATATTTTGCTAATTGAAATTATATAAGAAAATAATCATATTATAAGATTATTATTAACAACTATACACGTATCTCAAGCGAGAGACCATTATTGCTTGAATAGAAAAAATTAAGTCATGGTAATTCCTTCGTTTCAATTTCTCTGTCAAGTTTAAGCTGATGACAGCTTTCAATGACACAACATCTTGAATATTCAATTTGATTATGCATAAGTGAATTTCAAGCCATACTAAAGATTGATTCAGTTTGATAGTTCTTATATAAAAGCTGAACAATAAAACGAGTTTATAAGTAAATTTTTGGGATTATTCTATTCTAGGTAAATGTGTACATGCTCTAAGGAATGGAGAGCATGCATATGATAATTAAATAAACAAAAAAGGTCACAATGTCGCTGAAGAACTGATCAGAAAACAATGTTTACAAGTTCATGCCCTGTCTCCTGCGCTCCTCCGCTCCCCAAATCTCCTCCCCTCCACTCTTCCCCTTCTCAAGATTTAGTACTCCCAGGCGGAAGGACCAGCGACAGTGTTTGGAACAGTGGCGACAGCAATACCGGTGCAGTTTCCAGTACCCTCTCCGTTGGGGGTAATGAAAACTTGGTAGACACCAACTTCAGTGGCGCAAGCAACAAATCCGGATCCCTCGGTGCTGAAGGACAATGATCCCAAGTTGCTACCCTCGCCGGCAGTGTAGGTGAATCCAGAGACCTTTCCACCGTGGGTGTCGGCGGAGTGAGGAACGGTATAGGAAACAGCGTAGCTGTCTGCAAGGTAGACTTGTTGACCACCTGGAACCTCGGTGTTCAAGAAGAGAGTGTTGTCAGCTCCAGCGACAAATGATGTGTATTTTCCGTCTTTGTATTTGTTAATTATATGATTATTTGAACTCATAAGGTTAATACATACCAGGGCAGCCCTCAGTCAGTGGGCAGTATGAGGAAGGTTCTTTTCCGATCCAGAGACCACCTTGGAAGGCGTTGATGGCTTGGTTTTGGAGGTTGGAGCCGGATTTGATGGAAATGAGGCCAAAGGCATCGCTTGCAGAGCGGGCAGCGACTGGGGATGCGACAGCGGAGCTGGCAAAGAGAGCGGCGATGAAGGTCTTGGAGAACATTTTGATTGTTGTTGATTGGTATTACTTTAAAAGTATAGAGTGAATGAATTAAAAGATTGAGTGAATGTGTTTGATTGATGTGATGAGATGATGTGTTGATGATAGATTATTTTTGTGAACTTCCTCGACACTTATATATTCATGTCTTTTCTCCCTGTCGCCCCTTTCAATATACAGAACAACAGCCTTAAGCAATGACTTCATCGGGTTTGCAATGCCAGTAGCCGAAAAAATGGGGAGAATGCACGGTTACTTTCAAAATTTGGTGTGGGAGATGGTACCACCATTTCTCCTTTCCATACGACTTTGCAATGCGGCTTGTACAAAATCAACCGGACCCTATCATTATAGAGTATATTGCTCGTATTGAAGACTTGACACAATTGTCTATATATGCATTGAATGCGGAAATCAAAATTTTGGAGCGGTTCCATGATTTAAAGTGGATTACTCCACACATGATGCAGAGAATGACAACGGTATTTTCATGCTCTGTCAAATTCGATCCATTAAGGTGTTTTCTAGAAATTTAGATGGAACAAAAAGAAGAAGTCTAAATTTTCCCATCATGATGAATTATTATGTACCGGTTGAACAGCCACCTCCTTGGATTCAAGAGGATTACTTTTCCTTTAACCGTAGCATAGCTTTATTTACTCATATCTGTATGCATCGTCGGTTAAAGTCACTGGGAAAATCTATACAATTTTCAGGTACAAAGGACAGATTTGTCATCTGTCAATTCGCTAGCGCCTTGAAAGGGGCTGAAGTTGCGAAACACTAAACCTAAATGTCGATCACCGATAAGGATCGACATTTTTCCTCGTATTTCTGGCTCGTGTTCTGAAAATAGATAACTTATGATTTATCCATCGTATTTATTCCATCATAAATTTATAACACCATCCAAAGTCATGCAATTATGACATGGCTATCCACAACGGGAACACACGGTACACCGAGGCTACCCACAATCCACTAGTGGGGTCAATGATATCGTAGCGTCCGAAGTTTTTGCCTTGCTCACAGTCCCAAAAGATCGAGCGGTGGCTTGTTCATCAATTATGACCGTTTCTAACGTTAGGTTGAAGACAGCTCCACGAGATTTATGAGTTGATGAGACAGGAGAATTTGAGAAAATGTCAAAAAAATCGGATATGACTAAAAGTTGACGAAGATTGACTCGTATTCCTGGTATTGAACTTAGTATCATTGATGTCGGTATAGCTGCACAGCAAAACTGAATTTGGGGATTTTAAGACTTGTCTTTTCTTTCGGTAACTCCGTGTTTGTTGTTTGATGAAGTTGCAGCATATGAACGATGATCCGGCAGTTCAAAACATTTACGAATTGCCACTTTTGATATTCCTTTCCACCAAACACCGAAAAGCTAGATGTAAAGAGAACTATAGTCTCGTATTGACATGCACATCGACAAAAGGGAGATATTTCGACCCTACAAGATAAGGTTAAATGATCTACAGGGCAAACCCGTATGGAATTGGGCAGAGTAGTTACAGAATTGCGGATATTGGATTTTTCCGTCAGGAACGCTCGACACATCTCCTCGGATTTCCTGCGGTATCATCTCGGACGCAAATACGGATTTCTATTATGTTGTTCTGGGAAAAATTCGATCTTTCACGAACCGACGATCCAGTGATTCATCGACAATAATTCATTCTCTGTCCACAGCTTGATACTTCGTCCCATTCGATTTGCCGATCTGAGTTTGAGCCGCTTTCCCTGCTGGTACTCAGGTCCTTCTAGTGTGTATTTATTTCTGGTACATTGATTGATTGATTGATTAAATTAACGTCTACACTGAGTCTATGACTATCTAAGACGGCTAGGAGCTTTGTAGGCTTCTAACAATAGTAAATGGAGGGTGGCTGGCCTTATTCGACCGTAGCTAATACAGGTTGGGGAGATTGAAAGCCTCAATCTTCTAATGTTTGAATGGGGGAAGTGAAAACTAATACTAGGGAACCAAGCCCGCCTTACAGATACTCTCGTATTCAAGTAAGAGGAATAACAAATGAAATGTAATGAAATTTGACATTGGGGTGATTGCCCAAATTGACCAAATTGACCAAGTTGACCAAATTGACCAAATTGACCAAATTGACCAAGTTGACCAAATTGACCAAATTGACCAAAATGACCAAATTGACCAAATTGACCAAAATGACCAAATTGACCAAATTGACCAAATTGACCAAATTGGCCATAATTGATCAATTCAATCACAATCTTCCGGTCCACCCCCCTTCTTCTCCGCCTTCTTCCTCTTCTTCTTCATGCATTCTATTGAGATGCCATGATCTGGTGGCTATTCTCGTTGCCTCGATAAATTCGAGGGTCTTGATGATTCCTGCTTTAGTATGAAGCAGATATTTCATGGTAGGTCGGACTGTGGGGTTATCCTTATTGAGGGTTTTCCTTGCCATTTTATATAAAGGACAACTGAGCAGAAGATGATCAGGAGATTCCTTTCCCCCACATCTACAATTGTCATTAGAGGAGATACCGAATCGTTTCAAATAAGATTTGAAATATCCGTGTCCAATTTTGAGTTGGAACAGAGCACAGATTGTGCTTCTTTTGATGTTTCCTGGAATTCTGATTTTTGAGCTGATCTTCCAGGGGTAGTTTCTTGAATATGTTGACGATGGTTGATGAAAGTTGTTAGTGTTAAGGATGGCTATCCAGTTCTCTGATTTCATTCTTTTTATATCCATTCCAATGGAGGCATAACTGGTTTCGTGAGATGAAGATGGTATTTTGGTCGCCTCTTTTGCAAGAGAATCAGCTAGCTCATTTCCTTGTACAGATGTATGTCCAGGGACCCAATTGAGAGAGATTTCGGCTCCTTTATTTTGAATAGCTTCCGCAGCTTTTATAGCTTTGATTTGGCATGATTGACCAGGTGAATCGGAGGGGGTTTTCAGCCGGAATAATCCTGCTTGATTATCTGAGTATATCTTGAACTTGTTTCCTGGTTGAGCTATTGAATTTGCGTATTCGATCGCTTTAGTAACTCCTAGAAGCTCACCGTTATAGACAAGCTGATTCACGCCTATATTGATAGTCTCTTGATATGAGTTTCGGCCATTTGGTAAGATGACTACTATCCCGATCCCAACCCCTATTCCCTCTAGAGTGGATGAGGCATCAGTGTATATGGTAATGGTATTTTTGCATCTATATTTGAAAGCCAGATTGTGGATCATCGCAGCTTCTTCTTTTCCTAATTTGCTGATATTGACTCTATATGGAACTTCCTTCTTCCAAGGAGGGAAGTAGAAATGATGAATTCTTTCCAAAGTGAGGGGATCGAAGTCTTTCTGGATTGAGTTTTTGATCTTTTCGAGTTGAGTAGGTTTTATTTGCTTTCTTTGAGGGGTTGCAACTACATCTTGATTTTCCTTTTCTGTAGCCAGCTTTGTAGCTATTAAATTGACAGGATGAGAAGGGGAGATTTTCAATAATCTGAATGCGTATTGTTTGATTCCAGCATTTAGCCTTACTTCTGGAGGGCACAATGCGGCTTCTATTTCCATTGGCTTTATTGGTGAGGTTTTGAATACTCCTAGGATTTTTCGAAGGGCGAGGTTTTGCAAGGATTGAAGGATTTTCTTGAATTGGTTTTGCCCTTTCCACCATAAAATTGAACCGTAGTCAACTATGCTGGTGACGCATGCCATATAGAGCTATCTCATTGCCTTGGGACTAAGGCCTTTTTCAGAATTAGCAAGTCCAGCCATTCGGTAGAATGAGGTTTTAGCCTGGGTAGCTCGGATTGTGACATGTTGTTTGAAACTGAGGCCAGGGTCGAACCATATGCCTAGCCATCTGACTAGTGTTGAGGGTTGAATTATCTCCTCGTTCGGAAGCTTGATTGAGGCTGTCTTCGTATCTTTGGATGTAGAGAAGTGTATTAGTTCCGTCTTCGCTAGATCAAATTGAATAGCATTTTCTTTGCCCAGAGCATATATTTGTTTAGTTGCTCTTTCGAGGGAGATGATATTCTTTTTCCAGGATGTTGAAAATGTTGTTAAAGCTATATCATCTATATATGAGAGATATTTGATCGAATTTGCTGAGAATAGATCTCGAATATAAATTAAGAAGAGGATTGGCGAAATAGGGCTACCTTGGGGGATCCCGGTATTGATCGGTTTGAAGGTTTCAATTTGGCCATCGAATGAGAGCTTGAGTAGTCTTTCCTTCAAAAAAGATGAGATCCAGGCGATTAGGCTGGTTGGGAGGTTTAGGTTCTTGCAGATATCTAATAATTTGTTCATAGATACATGATCAAAGGCGCCTTTAACATCCAGGAAGAGAGTTGAGGTTTTCTTCTTGGATCTTGAATTTCTTTCGATTTCGGTAGTGAGTAAGATTGCTGTATCGATGGCTGATTTCTTTTGTCTTCCACCCATTTGAGAGTAATGAAGTAATTGCGTAGTCTCCGCTAAGTAGCTAAGCCTTTGAGCCAGAATTCTTTCACTTATCTTGCCAAGGCAATTTAGTAGGGCGATAACTCTATAAGCTTTTGGGGCCGAGTAGTCTGGTTTTGAGCTCCGTCTTGTTGTTTGGCTCTCTTGGAGGCATTAGTAAGCCAGTAAGGAGTACCCATGATACTGAGCCCTGGGTTGAAGGTATTGACTTCCTCTTTGATTAACGTAAGTCATGGCGTAATGCGTCTAATGGCGTAATGCGTCTAATTGTGGGGGACCACCCCATCAAAAAAGCAACAATTCAACAATGGTCCGTCGAAAAAGTTTAAAAGTGCAGGAAATGGAATCTCGACTTGCTGAAGCAGTATTAGGAGTTCAAAATGGAAAGTATAAGTCTTCATATGAAGCTGCAAAAGAACTGGGGCTTTCTAAAGATACTGTGACGCGACGCGTCAAAGGGGGTTCATCGCGTTCTGAAGCACGTCAATCGCAACAGAAACTTTCTGCTGTACAAGAGAATGTACTTCTTAAGTGGATAAAGCAATTGACAATTAGCGGCTATTCACCAGGCCATCAGTTGTTAAAAGAATTGGCTGAGGAGTTACGTTCAAAACGGACTTATAATTTGGATTGCCCCTCATTTGACTCCCTTGAACTCCCACCACAACACCTTCTTGGTTATGAATGGGTTCCACGATTTATCAAACGACATCCTCATCTTACAGTTGTTATTGGCCGTCGAATTGAATCTGTAAGAATGGATAGTGCAACCAGGGAAACATGTAGTACTTGGTTTGACGCGTATCAAAAAGCGATTCAGGATTATGGAATTGAGAAGAAAGACGAATACAATATGGATGAATCTGGACATTCAATTGGGACAATGGAATCAACCCGAATTATTATCGATTCTACACTTCGTACAAAACATCAAGCACATCCAGGCCGTCAAGAGTGGATTTCAATGGTAGAGTGTATTTGTGCGGATGGATCTATTCTTCCACTACTCGGGATTTTTAAAGGTAAAAACGTCCTTCAAAATTGGATTCCGAAGGAAGTTCTTGGTAGCTGGTTCTTTTCAGCAAATACAAAGGGCTGGACAAGCAATCTTCATGGATTAGAATAGCTAAAACGCGTTTTCGAACCTGCAACTCGTACAAAAGCAGATGGCAAATATCGGCTTCTCATCTGCGATGGCCACGATTCTCATATTAGTGGAAGATTTATAGCTCACTGCCTTCAAAATCGAATTGTACTTCTTATAATTCCTCCTCATACCTCGCATTTGCTTCAGCCACTTGATGTTGCGGTTTTCGGTCCATTGAAAAAACGGCTCACCGCAGCACTTTCTGATTTGAATCAAGCTCAACTTGTACGAATACAAAAGATTGAATGGATGGAGGCATATATTAAAGCTCGAGCCGATGTATGCCATCATCAAAATATCGAATCGGCATGGCGGGGAGCTGGGTTACATCCATTTAATCCACAGAGAGTGTTCCGTACACTGGGTCGAGAGTTTACCCCCGAAGTCGAAATATCCAAAGAACCAACCCAATTTGATATTTTTAATCAAGTCTTCGTCAATAGCTCACCCCCGGATGTAGCAATCTTACAAACAGCAAATAACCTTTTAAATTCAACAATTGAAAATGATACAACTCTTTCAACCCCGGTTCGTCAATACATTCGAAAATTGACGATTGGGAGTGAGCAACTTCGAGCTCAAAGTATTGTTCACCAACACGATGCGAATAATTTACGAGCTATTATGAAGAAACGTACGATACGTAAGAAAGGAAAGAGACTAGTTTTGAAGGGTCATTTTCATATTTCTACGCAAGAATTATGTGATGCAGTAGTGGAAGCCGAAAAAGCTACTAAAGTACAGACAATGAAAAAAGGAAAAGGGAAAGGGAAAGTAATTGAATATGAGACTGAAACTGAAGAGGATATTGGAGAAGAAGTTGAAGATGAATCTGAAAGTGATATTGGAGATTGTATTATAGTTGATTGTTGAGTAATTGAGATTTTAATAGAGTGGTTCCCCGCAATTAGACGCATTACGCCATTAGACGCATTACGCCATGACTTACGTTAGGTCCATACCTTTCAGACCTGAGAATTCCTGAATTGGGATTTTGTGAATGATGACTTTATGCCAGGGTTTATCGATTTGTATTCTTTCGGCATCAAGGATTTTGTCCCAGATTTCCTTCTTTTCCATCAGGAATTGTGCATTGAAAGGGCTGTTAGTGGTTAGTATAAAATTGCCGCTCCTTGTAGTAGTGATAGCTGAGATGATTGGTCCATTGATTCCTGCTTTCTTGAAGGCTTCGTTGACTTTGTTCCTTGTATTTAATGGTGTAAAAGAGTGTGGTTGATAAATAAGGGGTTTGATGAGGATTAGTCGTTTGCTTGGGGCTTCTTCCTTTTGTTCTGTAGTTTTCTGTTTTGTGGGTTTTCCCTTTGTAACTAGGTTCCATTCTCCTGAGGTTTTGGTGATAGTGGCATAGCTGGCTTTGGTTCCAGGGGTGTTTATTGTAGGGGGAATTGTATGATTGGGAAGGTTTGAAAGGTGGTTGGCTTGCTTTTCGATCCGTTTGGTAGCATTTTCTAGATGGGAGATTTGTGATGTGATGATATTTGAGGCTTTTGTAAGTTTTCCTTTTTCAAGATATTCACGAAATATTTCGATTAAGTCTAGGACTTTCGATTGTTCTTCGGTATCCTCTTCCAGGGAGGCAGCTAGAATGAGTAGACTTCTAGCTTTTTGGATAGCTTCTTTTGGTGAGTTGATATGGGATTCTGAGTGGCTGGGTTGTCGTCTTCGTTTGTTATTGAATTGGAACGTTGGGCGATTGATTGGTGATTTGAATGGATCATCAGAGCTCAAGGTATTGCGTTGGGTTTGAAAGTTGAAGGGTTGGGAGGGGGTAGGACTGGAAAGGATGAATGGCGGGCTATTGTCTCTTTCATGGGTTTGTTCAGTGTGGTTCACTTGGCATGGAGTGCCTAAGATCACTTTTGGGAAGTTCGATTGAGTGGTCCCCGTCATTGATGAAGGGGGTGAAAATTTCACGCGTTTTAGCGTGGTTTCACGTGTTTTGGACGTCGACGACAGTATCACAACAACTACTGGTTCAATTTCTTTGGGGACAATTGCGTTCGATTGATGCTGATTTGTTTAGTGCAAATGAGATATAAAAAGGGTGTATTTCGAAAAATAATTTTTCTTCAAAATATGTTGTGTGATCTAGAAAGGAATCTAATGATAATATTTGTGAATAGTATACGGATTGAGAATTTGCCCCTGTGCAACGAGATTTGAAATAATACTCGTTTTATTAGTGCTATAAGAGTTATATTTAATGTCATTGTTACTTACTGATTTTATGTTTCTATAGAGAGGACTAAGGAATTATTAATTATCTACTATTAATATGATCTGGTAAAGTATAATTAAAAATTATTTGATCAAGATTTGATTGTTGGTAAACACTCTAGTTGATAACCAAGGCAGCTTATGTCTATAAGATTGAAAAGGAAGAGCATATTAAGAGAAGAGGTATATTAAAAGAAGGGGTATACCAAAAGGGAAGGGGTTAGTGAATAGGTATAGCCCCCTCCGAGATTGGTCATATGACATACCAACACGGATAAATTACCGGCTATGCCAGCCGATCCACTCTGCTGTTCTTCCATAAGCAAGTGTCATGGGACATTTGTTCCAAGAGTTAATGCACATTCCTCCATCGAAGATGAAACAAATAAACCCATCAATCATTGCTTTTCAAAGTACCGAGCACAATGTCTAATTTTTTTATAGAAATGAGCTCAATTCAACTAACTAGACAGAACATTACAAAAAGAGGCATGAAAGCAAGGTCTAAACGAGCAAAACATCCAATCAGAACAAAAATCTGTGACGAAACAATGCACTAGGTGACCACCTAGCCCATGTTTCCAAAAGCAGCCTCTAGTTTTTATACAAAGGCAATCGTATATAGGTGTCGCACAGAGCTATAACTTTAAACTCTCTATCTGCAGGTCAAGTCACCGGTGCGCTTGTCGAATGTGCATCGGCCTCCGTTATATCTGTAGGAAAGCTAGATGCCTGTTAGTATGATGATTTTATCTATTGCAGTATTGATTTCTTACATTGATATATCCACCTTCGTTATGGGTATAGAACGCGTTGTTTCCAGTCATATACAAGCAATCGTAGCTAGAATTATTAGCTATTGAATAGTTGAGAGGAGAGCTCCGAATCGAAGCTGTATAGACTACTTACTCAGTGTTGAGCATACCAAGAGAAAGTTTGGCAGACACTCTTCCATCCTGACCACTAGGATTTCGGAGATGATAACCTTTGTTGTAGCAGGCAACAGCAGGGAACTTGTTGTAATCCGGGTTTCTGTTCCACATCGCAAGAGTAGTCGCTTGAGTGAACTTCTCACGTGTCTGGAAAGTAGATTAGTATCAAAACAATTTCTTTGTCGGAAGATAGTCACCTCATTCCATTTCCCAAGGTTGGCGATAGTCTGTTGTCCAATTTCAACGGCGATCTTGGTCAAGATGGCAATGCCCTTGATTGCGGCAATTCCAGCGACGACTACCACTGGTGCAATACGCTTTTGAAGTGCTTGATCGGTTTCATTGTCCTCCTTGGCGACTAAAGCTCCAGTGGTATCGAACTTTTAAATCATTAGCAATGCACATAATACCCAAGGAATGATTCTATATACCTGTCCACTGAAATGAGTTTCAACGGAAGGTGCAATGACTGCGTTTGGGTCTCCGACTGCGGCTTCTGGAGCTGGGAAGGCAGCTGCGTTTGCAATGGCAGCGCATACAATGATGGTGGCAAGGGAGAACTTCATTTTGATGGAAGTGAGTGGTTGATTTTCTTGAAAAAAAGAGAGAATGTGTTTTTGATTTGAGTGTGGAAGTGAATGTGGAAGTGAATGTGGAAGTGAAAGTGAGAGTAGAATGATTGTGTGAATATGATGTTAAGATATTTTGAACGGAAACAGGAGAGGTTTATATAATCTCCAATCCTCATATCTTTCATCTACTATAGTCATCCTTGATAATTCAGACGCACCAAGCAGGGATCGAACAAATATGATAATCTCTGGATTTTGGCTGGTTTGATCGTGACATGAAATATAGCCAAACGCCTAGCCTCTCAGCAGAATCCCCAATTTTCAGACGAGAGGCTCAAAATATGCCTAATGTAAATGCGCAATTACACCTACAATTGAGCATCCATGTTTAGTTCGTCTCAATGATCCAAATAACAACTAGTATCTCGCTTATATTGGGCACAAACTCGAAATAAAGTGCTATACTCAGCGTATTCTCTGACATTGGCCATCAACGACAGAGCCATCCCCAAACTTTAATCGAAGTACAAACAGTGCCAAACACGCCGCCGATGGGAGTTTCCCGGGAATAGCTAGGTACTTGGCACTGTAGAGGTCGCATGAACATAGCAAATTTGAAATAAAGTTTTCCTACTTTTGCTTGATGATCGAGAGAGAGACTGCTCTAAGTATAGAACTTTAATCGAAGTGCAAACGGTGCCAAACACGCGCCGGCAGAAAAGTCAGGGTTCGTTATTTACTTGGCATTGTAGAGAACGCATGAACTTGGATAATTTGAAATGAAGTTCTTGTAGTCTTTGGTGATGGTCGGGAGAATGTGGAAAATATCTTGCTACTGGCATGGAAGACAAGTTCATTCGCTAAGGATGAAACGTTAATCGAAGTGCAAACACGCCATCGGTGAAAAGACCTCACTGATGGTTCATCAGTTGTCACGCTAAAGACTGTGTACGCGCGACAAGTTCAAAGCTTTGCATCTGCACGTTACTTTTGCCTCCTGTGCCGTTTCATCAAGAGCCGGAGCCATTCTATCACGTGATTCTCTTTCCAAAGTTCACGCAACTTTGCCCGGCAGAAAGCAGTCTTCCTGCAGGAGGTGAGATAATTACGGCGATAGATACTTGAGGCATTTACACGTTTTCGTTGGCGCAACTTGGCCATTGACATGCTTGGTCTTGTGGTCTAGAAATTGAAGGTTTTCTGGAGACAGGAAGGAGATTGAGGTATAGCGCAACTTGCGCCTCGGCGGCTTAATAGCGTTTGACGATGCATTAAACTTTCAGCAAGCTTCACGTAGTTCTCCCGCCAACTTGGATCTTTCGGTTCTTGTGGTCTTGGAAGGAATTTAGAGAGTTTCTGGAAGATTAGGGCGCTATGGCTAGTTGGCTTAGACGCGTTTGACGATGCATTACACTTTTCAGCCTAACTCATGGAGTCTCCCCACCAAATCAGCCTTGGAATGAATGTGCCAGGGCTTTCTGGATGATTGGGATGCACTGTGTCGTATGAGGTCTAGATGGCTTAGATGCGTTTGACGATCCAATAAACTTTCCAGCTAGGGTATACCGTGGTTCCCCCATTAAGTCGGATAGTTCCGAACCCTAATTATTTTTGCTTGCGGCATCCTTCTCATAGGGATAACTGCGGGAGATCCTCGTGCGGAGTCTATCACTTGGCCAATGAAATCTCTCAGTCGCTCACGTTCGACCTTGTTAATAAATGAAATCGATTGAAATTTTAATTACAGAATCATTCTATAGTTATAAATAGATCCTGAAAATTTTAGATTTTTCACGATTTTATTGGTTGAGATTTTGAAGGTTGAAATTTTGATTTTCGATTTATATAGGATTTACTGTTACGAGGTTTGCCGTCTAGATCACGTTGAAGTGCTCTAGGCTCTCGAGGTGGTTTATAACTAGGCGTCAAGCAGGGACTTAAGTAACAACAATAAGGATATGCAATTCGTAACTAATAGTAGAGTATACTAAATGATTGATCTTGAGCACGAAGCTCTATACAAAAGAAATCCATCTTGATTATATAGTCCTTCGTGCCTATGGTTAACTAGGAATCGTCGTTCCTGGGAACGAGCGTTCCTGGTTGTTCCTAGGAACGTTCGTTCCTCACCGTTCCATCACATGTTTTATGGTCATGTGACATACTAATCGTTTTGGACGTAACAACGAATTGCATAACGTGGTTTATCAGCATGTGCACCATATCAGCATGTGCACCACTTTTACCTCAATTATTATCTTTCAATTAAAATAAAATTACAACAACATTATAAAATAGAATTAAATTATATACAATCTAAGGATCAATTAATGCTGGATCTAATTGACAAGTTCGTGCATTATGTGAAGTACTACCGCATTTGCTACATCGTCGTATAGTAGCTTGCCTTCTTGTTGAAGAATCATCATTTGTATATTCGTCGCGTCGTATCTGATCATCTACATTCTCTTGCTCTAATATATCATGCCCATTCCCTACTGAAAGTGCTCCTCCTTTTCGTATTAAAGCTTTTTTAACTCTTCGACGTTTACTAAGTGCTTCATTTGCTTTACGGAGATTATGAATCTCAGCAGTTAAAAGCGTATTTGTATAAGCTAGGAGCTCTGTACCCTTAGCTAAAGCTGCAACTGTTTCAAATATTGGAGTAGGTGAGCTCCCTTGATGCCGAGCAATACGACTTTTCACTAAAGTAGATCGAGAGAGAGCTTCAGTTGGATTGTGAGGTGTTTGAGATTGCCATATATCAGGATCGGCTGATATTGATCTATTTGATGGAGTTCTTATTCGAATATCTAGCTTTGAAAGTACAATTTCCGGATTAAATGGGATTAGCCTAGCTCCGCGGAACCCAGCTTTACCATTTGATATAGATATTGCTTCGATATATGCAGCTTTAAAGGCTTGAAAGAACTCGGTTTTGGTAATATGAGTAATATGCGCCTTGATAAAGTTCTCGATTTGTCGACTATATGAACGCTTTAAAGGACCAAAACAACCGATATCAAGTGGTTGAGTTAAATGCGAAGAGTGAGGTGGTAAACTAAGTAATATAATATTGTGTTCCTTGCAGTATTCCTGAAATGCTGGTGATTTATGACTTTCATGCCCATCAAGCACTAGCATTCGATATCTACCCACTTTCCTACTTTCAGTATGTTTGTTGAAGTGCTTAATTCATTCAAGACCTGTCTCATTATCTGTCCATCCATTGGTAGTAGGTTTAATAAGCCAATCGTATGGTAAATCGCCTTCGGTATACCAATTTGAGAGGTGGTATTCGCCTTTTACTATCAAAAACGGAGGTATATTGTGACCTTCTCCATCAACACAAATAATCGCTGTAGCCCATTCCCGATTGCCTGGTTGTATAGCTTTGCTTCTTCCACATCGATCAGCTTTAGTTACTACTATATGTGATGATATTTGTCCCATCATAAAACCTGTCTCATCGAAGTTGTAGAAATCGCAGTCCAGAATACCATATTTGGCCCGCATATTCGATACCAATCGAAACCATCTTTCAATAAGCTCTGAATCTTCGCAGAGAGCTCTTTGAAAATCATAAACGCGATTAAAACGCGTCTTTAATTCTGTATGTCGTTTCACAAAGCGATGAGCCCAGAGCTTTCCAACCTTCTTCACACCCCGCGTTTCGAGTATATAATTCGCCATATCTTCCACATCACTTATTCGAGGACTAAATCCTCTCTCGTCCATGTCGAGTATATATTGAATAAGTACTTCCTCTTCCAAATCAGTCAAATTATGGCTTTTTGGTCGAAATTCCGTACGAGGGGTTAAACCATTCATTCTGCGGATAAGTGTTGTATGCGATATATTATATAGCTTTGCAGCCTTCCGAATGCTTAATTTTTTATCTTTTCGAATAGCTTCGATAGCTAAGAGTATTTGAGCTTCTTTATTATTCGATTGCATTATAGATTGTTGATAAATCGCGTATTGAAGTGGAAAGATAATAATTGAGGTAAAAGTGGTGCACATGCTGATATGGTGCACATACTGATAAACCACGTTATCATTATTGTCATTACTTAAGTCCCTGCTTGACGCCTAGTTATAAACCACCTCGAGAGCCTAGAGCACTTCCACGTGATCTAGACGGCAAACCTCGTAACACACCGTTCCCCTCGATATAAATCAGTGGGATCGGTGGGAGGCCTTCCCACCGTTCCCCTCGATTTAAATCGGTGGGACGAGTGGGACCACGTGACCCCTTGTTTAGTCATGTGATACGGGTTTTAGTCGTAACTGAATACCGTTGTAACATATAATTTAAATATTTTAAAAGAATTTAATATTTATTTTTGATAATTTTTATTGGCAAGTTATTTTAAGTTTTATTAATTGTTATTTTTGGTATAACGTGGTTTATCAGCGAGCGGGCCATATCACCGAGCGGGCCATTTTTACCTCAATTTATATCTTTCAACTTCAATACGCGATTTATCAACAAAATATTATGGAATCGAATAATCAAGAAGGTCGAATACTTTTAGCTATCGAAGCTATCAATAAAGACCAAAAATTAAGCATTCGGAAGGTTGCTAAGCTATATAATATCCCGCGTACAAAGATTCAGCGCAGAATGGACGGTACTACCCCTCGTATCGAATCTCGAGCAAATGGTCATAATTTGACCAAATTAGAAGAGGAAGTGCTTATCCAGTATATAATCGATATGGATGAGAGAGGGTTTGCATCTAAATTAAATGGTGTAGAAGATATGGCGAATTATATTCTCGAATCGCGGGGTGCGAAGAAGATTGGAAAGCTCTGGGCTTATCGCTTTGTTAAACGATGCCCAGAATTAAAGACGTGTTTTAATCGCATTTATGATTTTCAAAGAGCTCTCTGCGAAGACCCCAAGCTTATTGAAGAGTGGTTGCGATTGGTATCGAATATACAGGCGAAATATGGTATTGTCGATTCCGATTTCTACAATTTCGACGAAACCGGCTTCATGATGGGTATAATATGCCCTGGAATGGCTGTAACTAGTGCTGAACGAAATGGCAGAAGCAAGGCAATACAATCAGGCAATCGAGAGTGGGCTACGGCAATTATATGTGGCAATGGAGAGGGTGAAACTATACCTCCATTTCTGGTAGTTCAAGGACAAGTTCATCTTTCCAATTGGTATACCGAAACCGATTTTCCTACGGATTGGGCTATTAAACCTACTTCCAATGGATGGACGAATAATGAGACAGGGTTAGAATAATTAAAGCATTTCGATAAACATACTATTCGTCAAAGGAAGGGCAAATATCGAATGCTAGTATTGGATGGGCACGAAAGCTGTGAATCAATACCTTTTCAATCATATTGCAAATCAAATGATATTATATGCCTCAAATTACCACCACATTCAAGTCATTTAACTCAACCACTCGATGTTGGATGTTTTGGCGTACTCAAACGTTCATATGGTTATCAAATTGAAGGATTTATCAAAGCTCATATCAATCATATTACCAAGATTGAATTCTTTATAGTCTTCAAAACTGCATATTTACAATCATTTACTATTCAGAATATGAAAGCTGGTTTTCGAGGAGCAGGTCTAATATCATTCGATCCTCAATCTATACTCTCAAAACTAGATATTAGGATTCGTACTTCTACCCCTCCATCTACCTCCTTGGAACTTACCAACTCCTGGATCTCTCAAACCCCTCATAATCCAACTGAGGCTCTCTTACAATCAACTCTAGTAAAAGCTCGAATAGCTCGTCATCAATCAAGCTCTCCTACACCTATATTTGAGACTGTACAAGCTTTAGTTAAAGGTACAGAGAGATTAGCACATGAAGTTACACTTTTGAGTGCTGAGAATCGTATGCTTCGAACAGCAAATGAGGTATTAAGTAAACGTCGACGCGCTAAAAAAATTCAACTACGTAATGGAGGAGTACTTACTGGACAAGAAGCTGAAGATATATTATCACAACAAGAGGTTGATAATCAGATTCAACGCGACGAGCGTCAAAATGGGGGAAATTTTAATAGGGAATCATCTACTAGTCAATGCTGTAGTAAGTGTGGAAAGACTGGTCATAATTCAAGAACTTGTCAGAATAGTATAATAGATCCTAGATTATTAGATTCTTGATAGTTTCAATCAATTGATTTAATTGTTGTTAAATAATATGGGTTTGAAATGATAAATTGAGGTAAAAGTGGCCCGCTCGGTGATATGGCCCGCTCGCTGATAAACCACGTTAAAAGATAGTCCAAAAGAGAGGTGCTATACAATAGAGTGTTACGTAGTAACAGTCAACCTGTCCATATGAGCTCAGACCCCGTGGAAAAGCAAACCGATTCACATACAAAATTGTATGGTAATCGGTTCGTAGAGTCTCCCCACCTTCAGCAAGCACAGACATATAGTCTGATCCAAGTCACGTGGTGGACCCTGCATATTCAGGGATACGAATCGTAGGTCCATACGAATCGAAGGTCCACAAACTCTCAGTATCCAAGAGATCCAATGGAGGACGAAGGTCTAGATAATCAGGATGGTTTCCGTTGTGTAGAGCTTCGTGCTCAAGATCAATCATTTAGTATACTCTACTATTAGTTACGAATTGCATTATTGTCATTACTTTAAGTCCCTGCTTGACGCCTAGTTATAAACCACCTCGAGAGACTAGAGCACTTCCACGTGATCTAGACGACAACCTCGTAACAAACTAGTCCTATTAGGACTAGATTGAGAAGCTCTCTGTAGAAGAGCTTCGCACTTCTGTAGAATAGAGACAATGTGTGATTCATATAAAAGCCCAATATAGCCTCAGTTCTACCCTGTCAGCCTCCCACTATTCCCTGTGTAAGGTCATTCCTTTTAACATTTTTAATAATTTTTATTGAAAATGTTAAAGTGAATGGTTCCTGCGTAGCACGTGCACAGGGCACTAGTCCTATTAGGACTAGATTGAGAAGCTCTCTGTAAGAGAGCTTCGCACTTCCGTAGAACTTAGAAGAGTGATTAACCTACTAGACCAATATTACCTCAGTTCTGCCCTATCAGCTTCCCACTATTCCCTGTGTGAGGTCATTCCTTTTAACAGAAAAGTTATTTAAGATTTTCGATTTCTTCAAATTTATATAAAATCAATTATTAAAAGATTGGGTGGAAGAGGCCTCTTGTTGGGTTTCTTGAGACTAGAAAGAGTATCAGATTGAATTGATTGATTCTCTAGCTAAGCAGTTAAGCTGCGAGCATATATTCAAAAAAATGAAGGAATAGGTTGGGTATTCAGCCTTCGGAATTAAAGTGCTTTGAAATCAAAATATTGAAAGCAAACAAACAGTATACCAAAAAGGAAAGAATGAATTAAAAGTTGAGTTTTGTTTGCTCCTTATATGCATATGTACTATATATGCATATGCTGCCAAGATCCCAGGAGGTCAACACGCCCCCTCAGGGATTACCGAGTTAGTTAATAATGAGGTTATTCCTGAACCTGAGACCGAATGTCAACCATTCCCAAAAGATTGATAAAATGAGTGTGTTTCTGTGGTGGTAGAGGTTTAGTGAAACCATCTGCAACCATTTCAGTAGTTGGAACCCATTCGACTTGTAGCCTTCCTGCTTGCACTTCCTGGCGAAGCCAACAGGAGTGTATATCAACATGCCGGAGTTTTGTAACAAGTCTAGGAGTACTATGCTGAAGAAGTCGAATGGTTTGGCGATTATCACAGAAAATTGAAGCCTTTTCTTCGAGATCTAAACCAACATTCTTAAAGAAGCGTATCCACCACATAAGCTCTCGAGCAGTAACGGAAAGAGCCAGTATTTCAGAGTGTGTGCTGGAAGGAGTCACCGACTTCAGCTTAGTGCTTTTGAAGTGGATCAAACCTCCAAAGAGTATCAGGCAATATCCTATTGAAGAAACTCTTGTATCGATATCGTCAGCATAGGAGGCGTCACTTCAGATTTGAAAGTTCCTAATAGTTGTTGCTTTCTTCCCATCGAACATGATAATATAGAATTTGGTATTCTCAAGGTATTGCAATGTATGTACTACTGTATTGATATGAGTAGCGGATGGATTACAAAGAAATTCTGATGGTATTGAAGATGCTTTTGCAATATCAGCCCGAGTCACAACAGCAGTGTAGTTAATGTTGCCAACTCGCTGCTGGTAACCGAAAACCTATTGCGGAGTTACAATTGCTGGATTCTTTGTAAGTATTATTGTTGGCAATAGAGAACAGGCTTGAGGATTAGGTTTGATATTGAAGCCGTTTGATATTTTTGAAATGTAGTTATCTTGGCAAAGCCACACACGATGATTTTGTCGATCTCGTAGTACCCTAATCCCTAAGAAGAACTGTATATCTCCAAGTGATTTGATGGTGTATGCTGATTTTAAGGTGTTTTCGAATAAGGTTAATCGTAGCAAATCAGCTTTCTTGCAAATTGCGATAATATCGTCGACATAGAAGAGAACCGTAAGCCAGCTATTGGTGAAAACACAGGGTGCTCCTGGAACTGGATCCAGACCAAAGTCGGTTAACGTGTAGGTCAGATCCTCATACCAGTATGCTGGAGACTCTCGGAAGCCATAAAGTGCTTGGTTTACGGAAATCACTTTCCCTGGGACTTCGAAGCCATCAGGGCACTTGCAAATAATTGGTTGCCTTAATGTTGCATGTAAAAAAGCATTGGAAACGTCAAATTGTCGAATCTCAAGATCGAAAGCTGCAGCGATAGCCATCATAGCTCTAAAAATTTGTGAAGTTAGCGTTGCAGCGTATGTCTCTTCTTCGGTTGATTGAAGATCTCCTCTGGCACAGATTCTTGCTTTGAACTTGATGAGATAACCATCTTGATCGAATTTATAAGTGAAAACCCAGAGTAATGGTAAAGGCTTTTGTCCTCTTGTAGATATATCGATGTATTCGAAGGTTTTACGTTCTTTCAGAGCGTTGATCTCATCCTCACATGCTTTTTGGAATTCTCTAGCATATGGATGCTGTACTAGCTCATGATAAAATCGAGGTGGAGGTGGTAGATCATTTTGATGTAATCTAGGAGTTCGTAATTTAGACCTTCCGATAGCAAATGCTGCAAAGTAGCTGGATAGTTGAGGAAGTGATGAAAGTGCTGCAGCATGATGTTCTTTCCTTTGTGAACGTCTAGAACCCTGAATTATATGGGATACGTCGATATCGGCACGTATTTGCTCTGCCAAAGGTGCTGTATTATGAGATGATGTTGTAGTGATGATATCATGTTGACTTAACGATGATGATGGGGAAGATGAGAGTTCTGACTCCGGTAATGATGGTATAGGAACATCTCCAGTAGATTGTCTTGTAAGTGCTTCTGGTGATAAGGTTGCTCTAGGCGTTGGCAATTGAGGGTTAGTTTGAGGAACCCCCTCATTGGTTGGAATACCATCATCCGTCTTGTTTGAAGAGCTTTCATTCGTTGGTCGCTCGTTTAAGCGATTGTGTTGTAAGTTCCATGGCCCTTCAACTACAATTATATCACCAATACTCTCATCTGATTCTTCACTCAACAGATTCGATATTTCTATCTCTTCTGCCCTCTTTTCGTGAATAGCTGCAGTATCCCGAAGTTGATCCTTAATAAGAAAGCCAATATCTATATCTTCTGGTCGATAATACCGGGTTTCATCAAATTTGACATCCCTACTTCGAATGACGCGATTTATGGAAGGGAGCCAGATCCTGAAGATATTCGTTGAATCATACCCTACAAGATAGCCCAGTTTTGCACGAGGTTGCATCTTCGCACGTCTTGGAATCTGCTTGTTGAGCACATATGCCAAGCACCCATATGGATGTAGATGTGCTAGCGAAGGTTTATTGCCAGTAGCACTTTCAAATGGTGTTTTCCATTGAAGAGCTCTTTTTGGAGTACGGTTTTCAAGATAACCGGCTGTTTTAATTGCTTCTGGCCAAAGGTTTTGTGGTAGGTTTGCTGAAAGGAGGAGGGCTCTTGCTCTGACCATGAGCATTTTACCAGCATTCTCTGCAGCGCCATTCTGTGCTGGTGTATCTGGTGGAGTGCGTTCGACAATGATGCCACGTTTGTCTGTGATCCTCTTGAAGTCGCCCCCTAACGTAGTTTCACCGTCGAGGCGTATGAATCGGACCTTTGAGCCGAATTGTGTTTGTATCAGAGAGAATTGAGTATCCATAATATCGATCATCTCTGTTTTCCTAGTTAGAACATACACCCATTGTATTTTGTGTGTCGTACACCAGAAGTGGCTGATATATCGGGTATTATTATAAGCCTCATCCATCTCGAACAGATCCCATGCCAATCGATCTCCGACATGGCCGTTCTCTGGCATCTCCTTCCTTGGATTACGAGATATAATCTGTTGAGCCTTCGAGAGATTACAAACTTTGCAGGTAGAGAAGGAAGGTGTCGAAATCGTTTTGTCGATAATGATATCAGTAGTTGCTGATTCTAGGTGCTGAAGGGCTTCGAGAGAAGGATGGCCTAGAAGATCATGTAACTCTGTTGTTGTAACCTTTCGGCATATTGATTTGGTGTGGTTTTTGGTGGCAAACGAAGCATGCTGAGAAAGGATAATAGGATCGAGGGTCCAATGGTCTCCTGTTTGCTTCAGAGTAATAAATGCAATGCCTTCTTTTGTAAGGACATCTGGGTGTTCAGTGTTCCAATGTACACCTTTCTTTGAGAGTAAAGCTAGAGAGACTAGGTTTGTAAGAAACCCTGGGATGTACGCCACTCTTTTTAAGGTTATTTGCCCTGGCCCAGTTGGTGTATTGATCAACATAGTGATAGTACCGAATGCTTCAATTTGGAATCGGTCCCTTCCAGCGCTTATCATATCGGATGGCTTTCCAAACTCTTCAAGAACAAAGTTGTGTAGAGAGTTGGTGACATGGGTATCGGAATCGCTATCAATTAGCTCATTTGTGAAGGATGCTAGCATTGTTGTAGGTAGGACTTTTGTTTAGTGAGAAAAGCCTCAAGATCCTTATCTTTTCTCTTTTTCAGATTCTGAAGGATTAGTCAATGTTTCCTTTCCATGCTGGATCCCAGAGAGATTTGCTAGCTTGAGAAGTTCTTTAGTTCCTTCATGTCTACGAACAAACCAGTTCCTTCGTTTTGTTGATTGCCTTCCCCAGAACTTCTTGAAGTATTCAATATCGGCATCGATTGGTTTCCAGTTCCTTGGTCGATTATCCGAATATAGATAGTAGCATTTTTCATATAGATGTTTCTTGCCACATAGACAGGTTCTCTCTCCTTCCTTTTTATCTTTATTCCCATCCTTATAGGTTGCAAATGACGTAGAAGAGGTTGAAGTAGTTGATGCCTGTGTGAGTCGAGTGTAGTTTCGAAAGTCTTCGATTAAATCGTACACATCAATCGTTTCTTCAGGCTGATTCTTGAGCTTTTTGGTGATCTCCAACAGAGTTGAAGTTGCCCAAGAGGAGCTGTGATTCATAAGGGCTGTAGAAAAGTCGAACGCAGCTCGATTTCGATCGACGTCTGGCAGATTGAGAGTTTTAGCCTCAGTGTAGATGAGTTCCCATTCGTTCAACCATTCATAAATATCCTGATTGGATTTGTAGGGTTGCTTTACACAATTGTATCGTGCTACGACGGTAAGCTCTCTCGCACGATCAGTTGATGCTAGCCTTTTGCATAAATTAGCAAGCACTTGAGGTGCTGTGATACTGGTGGTACTAATAAACTTTTCGCAATTGCGGTTAATTGATGAAAGTATGTACTTGAGAACCTCTGAAATGGCCTTGTTGATTTTCTCGTACTTGGTATTCTTGATACGATAGTTCTCTAATTGCATCTGATATTGCTTTAAAGCCCTATCAATAACAGCTCTCCAGAAGCATTTTCATCAACTGTGGGTAGCTCTGGTTCATCTAGCAACTCTGGTATAGGTACAACTGTTGTAGTGGGATCAAGGTATACCCAGCATTTGATGCCGCCGGATTCTGCAATACGCTGAACATTTCGAATCCAACTATTCCAATCCTCTGGTGAGGAAAGGATGATTTTAGTTGAATTATCGCCTGTAGTCATATTGAAGAAATAAAGTCAGAATTATCGAGGTTTGGGTTTTATAGAAACCACACTACGTAAGGTAATTCTTAAAAGAGTGAAACTTGAAGGTATCGTAGAGTTTCGGTATATGTGAATCAAGTATTGTGCAGGATGTTTAATTGAAAGTCAGCACCGGGCTCATAACTGTTGGGTTTCTTGAGACTAGAAAGAGTATCAGATTGAATTGATTGATTCTCTAGCTAAGCAGTTAAGCTGCGAGCATATATTCAAAAAAATGAAGGAATAGGTTGGGTATTCAGCCTTCGGAATTAAAGTGCTTTGAAATCAAAATATTGAAAGCAAACAAACAGTATACCAAAAAGGAAAGAATGAATTAAAAGTTGAGTTTTGTTTGCTCCTTATATGCATATGTACTATATATGCATATGCTGCCAAGATCCCAGGAGGTCAACACCTCTATATTGACTATATTACTACGTCTGTAGGCATATTAATCTCCTCTTGGTATCCTCGGAGGGGACCAATATGCCTGCTTATGGTTCGTCTAATCTAGCCTGTTTAGGTAACCGTATTACTAATCACGACACGTGATTAGTACCGGTAACTTCTATTCCTTTTAACATCAATCAATATTTATACAATCAATATATAATGAAAATTTCAGTTGATTTAATTAATTAATTGTTGAGATAATAATAATTGAAAATCGTTATTTTTAGTGTAAAAGAATGATCCAAAAAAGGTGTGACGGAAATCCCTGCTTTCCTCCAACCCTTATTATATAAGAAACCTCAGGTAACGTGGTTTATCAGGACCCTGTACATATCAGGACCCTGTACACTTTTACCTCAATTGCCCACATTCCATTGAAATAAAATTACAACAATACTATAAATTAGAATTAAATTACATACAATTCAAAAATCAACTAATGCTGGATCTAATTGATAAGTTCGTGCATTATGTGAAGCACTATCACATTTGCTACATCGTCGTATAGTAGCTTGCCTCCTTGCTGAAGAATCACCATTTGTAAATTCATCACATTGTATCTGATCTTCTACATTCTCTTGTTCTAATATATCATGCCCATCTTCTACTGAAAGTACTTCTCCTTTTCGTATTAAAGCTTTTCTAGCTCTCCATCGTTTACTAAGTGCTTCATTTGCTTTGCGGAGACTATGAACCTTAACAGCTAAAAGCGTATTCGTATGAACTAAGAGCTCTGTATTTTTAGCTAAAGCTGCAACTGTTTTAAATATTGGAGTAAATAAGCTCCCTTGATGTTGAGCAATACAACTTTTCACTAAAATGGATTGAGAAAGAACTTCAATTGGATTGTGAAATGTTTGAGATTGTTATATATCAGGATCGGTTGATATTGATCTATTTGATAGAGTTCTTATTCGAATATCTAGTTTTGAAAGTACAATTTCCGGATTAAATGAGATTAGCCCAGCTTCGCGGAACCCAGCTTTACCATTTGATATAGATATTGCTTCGATATATATAGCTTTGAAGGCTTGAAAGAACTTGGTTTTGGTAATATAAGTGATATGCGCCTTGATAAAGTTCTCGATTTGTCGACTATATGAATACTTTAAAAAACCAAAACAATCGATATCGAGTGATTGAATTAAATGCGAAGAATAAGGTAGTAAATTAAGTAATATAATATCGTGTTCCTTGCAGTATTCCTGAAATGCCAGCGATTTATGACTTTCATACCCATCAAGCACTAGTATTCGATATCTATTTACTTTCCTACTTTCAGTATGTTTGTTGAAGTGCTTAATCCATTCAAGACCTGTCTTATTATCTGTCCATTCATTGATAATAGGTTTAATAAGCCAATCGTATAGTAAATCACTTTCGGTATACCAATTTGAAAGATGGTATTCGCCTTTTACTATCAAAAACGGAGGTATATTGTGATTTTCTCCATCAACACAAATAATCGCTATAGCCCATTCTCGATTGCCTGGTTGTATAGCTTTGCTTTTTCCACATCGATCAGCTTTAGTAACTACTATATGTAATGATATTTATCCTATCATAAAGCCTATCTCATCGAAGTTGTAGAAATCGCAGTCCAGAATACTATATTTGGCCTGCATATTCGATACTAATCGAAACCATCTTTCAATAAGCTCTGAATCTTTGCAGAGAGCTCTTTGAAAATCATAAACGCGATTAAAACACATCTTTAATTCTGTATATCGTTTCACAAAACGATGAGCCCAGAGCTTTCCAACCTTCTTCGCACCCCGCGTTTTGAGTATATAATTCGCCATATCTTCCACATCACTTATTCGAGGATTAAACCCTCTTTCATCCATATCCAATATATATTGAAGAAGCGATTTCTCCTCCAATTCTGTCATTTTATGATTTGCTGGTCGACGTTCAGTAAGAGGCAGAATTCCATTCATTCTAGAAGTAAGGGTAGTATGAGGTATATTATAGAGTTTTGCAGCTTTCCGAATACTCAAATTTTGAGATGTACGAATAGCCTCAATAGCTAAATTGATTCGAGCTTCTTTTGAAGTAGTTTGCATAATTAAATATTGATAAATCGCGTGTTGAAGTTGAAAGGTGATAATTGAGGTAAAAGTGTACAGGGTCCTGATATGTACAGGGTCCTGATAAACCACGTTACATTAACCATGTCCACACATGATACGATTACTCAGGATTAGTATACGATTTAGGTGACCTGAGGATCAGATCCGGACAAGTACTAGGTATCAATGGTTATCGGTAAAGTAAGATCATTGGAGGAATAAATATGACTTCTTTTTGCCTAGCCATTGAGGCTAGGCCATTCATTTGTGTGTATATAGAGTAGCTATCCCTATCTACAGGTGCTCTTCACCTGTAGATGTTACGAGGTTTGCCGTCTAGATCACGTGGAAGTGCTCTAGGCTCTCGAGGTGGTTTATAACTAGGCGTCAAGCAGGGACTTAAGTAATGACAATAATGAAATGCAATTCGTAACTAATAGTAGGATATACTAAATGATTGATCTTGAGCACGAAGCTCTATACAAAGGAAATCCATCTTGATTATATAGACCTTCATGCCTATGGCTAGTCAGGACCGCGCAGCGGTCCATAACGTGACTTTAATCACGTTACCTTGGTTTAGTCATGTGACGCGGCATAGAAGATAGCCGTTGTAACAGTAGATTCTAAGTTAAATACAATTGCTGGTCTATAAACACCCTTTTGGTCACAAAAGGGGTCGTCCAAAAGTAGGGTACTAGACTTATTTATAGATTATTTATAGATTATTTAAAATCTTAATAAATAATCTAAAGAGCGGATAATTTATAATATTCACAATCCGCGGATTATTTTTATAGAGTCTAAAAATTTCTTATATATTTTCAAACCACATAGTCCCTGTACATTTAATATTATTGTGTGAACGAAGTGAATGACTTCGATTCAATTACTACTGTAATAAAGAACTAAGCGAACGCGAAAGAGACTAGCTCTTTTAGTAAGTCTATATAAGACTTACTACTTTCAATATGTAGCTAGCTCTTTAGACAGAATACAATTAGACATACAGGACCTACGTAATCCGTGGGTGCTACGTCTTCCATATCCTTCTCGTACCAACAATTATATTGTGAGAGAGGAAATTTTATTGAAGCTATTTGGTATTTATTTACAGTTTTATGTTTTTTATGTTATAAAACTATCTCCTCAAACAATCAGAGATCTCCCAAGTGCTCTGAAAAGTTCAGACCATTTGCTCTGTCTCTTCGGTGCCAATTCGCTCATTCCTACATGCGTGCAGCATTAGAAATTCGTCTGCAATGAACTTTTCTACGGTTGACCGTTCTTCATGGACCTAGTACAGCATTTTGCGGACGAGCCGAAGGAACATGTCTTTTCACTTCTCTGTAGGCGCGTTACCCTCGTTTCTAGGGTCTGTTGTGGGATTGGTGTTGCGGCAATCCAATTGCCTTTACACGTAAGCGAAACAAGCAAGCTTTGATAGTCACTTTTGACTCACCTTCTGCATCCCAGTACTGACGGCACATCTCGCTTCGCTCTCTGGAGCTTCGTGGTGGGGGTCCTGGGGGGGGGGGGGGGGGGGGCCCCCCTGGGCCAAGGGCAATTTATCCTCCAGGGGCCCCTTTTTGATGGGATGGAAAAAATTATGCTTTTCAAAAAGATCCCCAAACTATCTTGGCCTGTTAGCACCCCCTAGGGGGGGGCAGTAAATAATGGCGAGGGTACATACCATCACTCCAACAGACCATATGTCTATCTTGGAGCTCCATTGCATATTCAAGATGACTTCAGGAGCTCGATACAGGGCGGGCATTACATCTCCAGAGTGCCTCTCGCTTATTCTAGCAGCGCCGAAATCACAGAGAATCGGTGTGCCACTTAATATGGGCATATCGTAGTGCAGGTAGATAACACGGTCCAGAAGGATCTTGCGGGCCAACGGATGCTCTAGCTCCAATTGCTCAATCTTTTCGAATACTGATGAATCCGGGACGCTCAACAGGATATTGTTAGGTGAAATATTTGAGCTTTTGCCTTAGCCCAGCCCAACAAGAGTCATATTCGCATGAAGTGTGGAGACAAACCTGTGTGTACGACTCCTGCCTGGTGCACGAAGTCTAATGCAAAGAAATGTAACAGCAAAGTTCGCTGCAACAGTGATTCACTTAATGTACTGCCTGGAAGTTGATTTCGGAAGCTGGTGTAACTAACGCCCAAAGGAGTAAAAAGCAGGCACTGATGGTTCGTTTCTTTGGGGCCTGTGATGCAGAATTCATCTTGCATTAAACGCAGAAGCCTTTCCCGGGATGCTCGGCTCCATCGATAGAACTGAGATGGCGTGAAATCTTGAGTTCGTTGGCGATATGGTCAACGTCTTTATCGACTATGCAGACCTTGAGACACAGCAAAGCACTATTTCTGATTATGGTATTGCTATTAACATAAGATCATTTCACATATGAAAAGTGTAGAGATGCTGTTTTACGAACATACTCTAGATCGCGACAAAGCCAAACAGTAGATGATGTGCCAAAGCCAAGCTTTGCGAGTACTTGGTACCTGTGTTTGAATACCTCGCCCAACCGCACCGGATAGAACTTTTCCGGCTTGTAACCTATTATCTCTTTCTCTTCGATTTTTTTATTTACTGGGAGTCGCTCAAAGCCATCAATGGGAAAGACGCGAACAAGACTAGAAGACATCATCGTTTTGATACCTAAAATCATATAAGAAGGATATACTACAGGCGCAGGGCCCTGATGAATTGAATGAATCGATTGAAGTACGCAAAAGCGTGAAATCCTGATGGCCAGCAGAGATAGCCAATTTATCACTCTCATGGTAAAGAGTTTTGAAAATGATTGATAAAACAATTGAGCAGCACATGGTAGCAATGTGATTAGCTGTTATTGTGGCATTAAGACGTCTTCACAATAGGTTCACCGCATCACTACATCTTACCCCGCAATTTCAAGAACATCATGCTCTGCATTCTGACGATCAAACTACATGAGTAATCCAGCCGAAATATAAAAAATCATTAAGTTCATGCAGCTGCTAACCCTGTGTTTGATAGATTCATCTCAAGCAGTCACCTATTTACGACCTTTACTGTATAGTTCTTCCCATGTCTTTTGCCGGCGCGGGGAATCGAACTCTTCCAAAATGCCATCATGGACATCAACTATCCTAAAAGTAATCATGAAATCAGAAGTTTAATACCTAGAGCTACTCCTTCATGGTACTTAATTGGCAACCTTTGCTTATTCATAAATATATTCAAATAGCAGACAAAGATCAATGACTGGAGTTTTTTAACAATAAAACTGTAAAGATAAGTACACTGGCTTCGACGGTACCATACTTATCTAATCCAACCCTTTGGTCCTCCCCAAGTACCCTTAACCATGTATTTTCCATAAACCCATGGGAAGAAATCTTTCTTTAAATAATAAAACTCTCTTCGGGGAATGGCTTGATCAATGCCGAGCCATTTATTGAATGTCTCTTTCGGTACTCCACCGTACTTAAACTCTGCAAGAAGTACCTTTCCATACTCAGTTAAAAGTGGGCATGATGTATAACCATCATAAACCTCTTCCGGTTCTTTGCCATCGATAGCCAAGAGCAGGTTACGAACCAGAACTGGCGCCTCTGCAGTAATGGCCGCAATCGTTTTCGAGGTTGGTAAACTTGAAGCATCACCAGCAGACCAGACATTCTGGTACTTCACATGGCGCGTAGTTCCCTCATTAACGTTGACATAACCAGCATCATTTGCGAGTACGCTGTTCTTAACAAAGTCATGGGGTCGGTTTTTTGGTGCCACGTGCAAAAGATCAAACTCTCTCTTAACCTGACTTTGTCCATCCGTACGAGTAAAAGTCGCCACATTGCCATCAATGGCAGTGAGGTCATGCTGAAATAACCCTTCAACAGACCTTTCTTTTCTCAATTCCTCCAGCTTGGCACTATATTTAGGTACACCAAACATCGTTGGTAGACCAGTTGCGAAAGTGATGTTTATCGCCGAATCAGAAGGATTTTTAACATCATATAAACCTGCACGTTTCCAATGATCCAATGCAAGCCACATAATCTTCTGTGGTGCACCAGCACATTTGATAACACCGGTTGGTTGGGTGAAAATTGCCTTTCCCTTTTGAAGCTTTTTTATTGTACCAAAGACCTTGTCACAATAATCATAGTTGTATATGGAGGACACAAGAGAGTCTGGATTGTCAAGAGCCTCGGACAACCCCTTCACGCTTCCAACGTCAACCGTGATGCCAGGAGCGACAACGAGTTGCTCGTAATTGACTTTATCTCCACTTTTCAAAGTGAGAGAGTTATCGTCTGGAGAAAACCCGTTCACGCCAGTATTATAAAATCTAAGTTTTGGGTCAATCAAATCTTTCAGAGGTTTTCTGAGACTCTCCTTTGTCTTGAGTCCACCTCCAACAAGAGTCCATCCGGGCTGATAGTGATGCCACGTGGCAGGGTCGACGACAGCAATATCATCCTGATGGAAGTTCCCTTGCCTTAGAAGCTGATGACTGATACAAATACCAGCAGAGCCGCCACCAACTACAACGACCTTATGGTTTCTATTGTGTCCAACGACTGGTGATACGGTCGCAAAACTTCGGACAGTCCGGAGAAGTTGTGCCCTGGCGATAGAACGTCTAGGCATTGACAAGGTCATTATCACGTTGCCGCAAGAAACGTTTCAGTCGCAAAGAGAAGTTTGAAAGTGGCACCTTATAGTCGGGACAAGATATGCTCTTGTGGTCGAACTTGCTGAAAGGAAATTTTGGTACGGAGACTGATTATTCAACATCATTAGTCATCATGCGATCACGCCATCGTGACAACTCCTTCATCAACTTATAAATAGCTATGAACAATCCGATTGAAACAGGGGATGTTCAAGCCACACAAATTTCCTTCTTAGTGTTATAATATTTCTATGGCCTTTCGACGTTTCCAATTCCAACTCCGCCTTTCTTCTTGAGACTCGAGATGTAGTCACTCTTACTTACCCACATTTTGAAGTTTTAAGCTTTTTCAAGACCAAGCTTGTAGCTTCTCCAAAATTCCGAATGAGTTTGACTATTGACATCAGAAGCTACTCATTAAAGAGGAGGTATTTTTATAGCCAAGAGACAATTTACCATCTGAAAAATGAGGTTAAATTTCAATTAGCTATCACATGACTATTTTTAAATAATAATAATATACTGATTATCTCTATGATGTCGTGTCCGCATTCAACATTCCAGTCAAACCCTAGCAATTGCAGGTTTATAGCGTCCAATGAAAAGAAAGCATGCTCAATGGATAAAATGTTACTTTCGAGTTGTTCTTTTCTCCCATGTAACGGGCAAATCGGTCTTGCCTGCGCCATGGCGTCTGGCCAACATGGTATCAACAGAAAGAACAAGAAAGTGTTAGGATTAGATTCATGGCCGACTCAGTGGGATAAAAAGCCCCCACTTATCCATTTTCTAATGTCACCATCTGATTAGTCAAGCTATTGCTTCCTACTGTCGCTTTGTCGTTCATGGCACCAGAAAAATCTCATAGATCTTACCTGTGCAGGCAAAAACACCATTTGCCCTAGTAATATAGACAGATAAGAATCTGCTTTGATCGAGGGGCACGTCAAGCTAGTCCATCATGCTTGTGTTGGGTGGCTATATTTTACCAGGCCATACGAGGAGTGTTTGGGAAGGGGATTCTGGGAATTGGAAGCTGAAATTGACCGCGCACAGAAAAGCAATGCTACAGATATAATTCGATATAAATTCGTTCTAATCTTACAGTGCCTGATATGAAGCGACCCTAATTGTCCGGGGCTACCCGACCTATCTCTTTCGCTCGGAATACAAAATATATGTACAGCGAGGCCATTAAGAAATCTTCCTGGCCATGGGTTGGACGGGCACCAGTTTGATGAATAAGCACTCACGATCCAACTAGGAAAAATGTCCTTGGGGGAAGGCAAGATGAATCAATCAATCATCACAACCCTATGACGGAGATGAAGCCAGTATTCTTAACCAAGTGTCTTATGTTTAATGACGGTGTAGGAAGTTTCTAGAATCCATAGTACAAAGAACTCTATTTGATTTACCTTCTCTCGAGGCTAAAAGGAGAACATTTGGGGGAGTGACGTTGCTACCTAATTTCTTATTAAAAAAAACAGAATTTGTGGCAGCCACTAAGCAATCCGACAGTGGTACGAAGGGCATCTCTGAGGCCTCATGGTCGTCTGTGGTGTATTGAAGGAATCACCATTGGATCTAGTGATTTTTTGAAGCTCTCGTACCTAGCTACGATGTTTTTTTTTTTTTTTTTTTTTTTTTTTGATTCAAGACCATTGGAGGTGTAACAAAATAACCACAGTAACATAAAGCTCAACACGACAAGGTTCCAAGATCATGTGCAAGCATGAAAATAATCGTACCGCAAAGCTAAAGACGCAAATCTTGTCCCACAATATCTCATGGAGAAAAGCTCAAGCATCAGTTTCGTTGGAAAGATTCTATTGCTGACTGGGGATATGATTTCGCACTCGAGATTAAAAGTGATTAAATATCTATGTCGTGCAACTCATCTCTGCTTCGGCACCCACGAACCTTTCATGCGATTTCAATCACATACTACAAATGCAAACAATTCTCCACTGGCACCACAGTCATTCCATGAGAATTATCTGGCCCATACTTTGTTCGCGTCCGACCTAGTAGGAAAATGCGTATCTCCTTCCCGGGGACGTAGTAACCTTACCTTCTGCGATTCACCCCAGGCGGCTGTTGGGCGGGAGGATTGTCACGGCTTAGCCACCAACACCGTTTATGCCTACGGGAAAGACCTTACAAAAAATACCTAAGCAACTCCGTACAAAATCGCAAGAACATCCTTGAAATAAGATCTACCATAGGCGCACTATCCCGTTGTAACGATTCCTCCATCCTCAATTGATATTTTGTCGTGCAGGTGAAAGGGTAACGATTTGGTAGTTGCAATTGCAAGTACTTCCGAAAGATAGTCTTACTAGGCAAATCACTGTTATTGAGATGGCTCTTTTGACACCCCAATGACTAGCAGACGAATTCGTATCGCAGAATCTGAACCTCTCTCCCCATTATTAAAATATGATTGTATGACCCGGGCGTGGCCATTGCAAAATGTCTAAATCGTGGTGGGTCGTAAGTCGATGGATGTAAAGAATCACAGCGTTGGAAATGGATCGATGTTGAGGGGAGGATGGCAATGTGGATCTTGTATCTCGTTGCCTCATCGTGAAAAACGGAGCCCTAAAATAAGGAACTGCCATATGTCATATCAAAAATGTGATGAACACATGGCGCGGCGCAGATATGGTTGGCAACCTCAATCGTACTGGGCATAGATTTGGAGGATTTTATGTGTAACGTGGTTTATCATCGAGTGGCCCATATCATCGAGTGGCCCACTTTCACCTCAATTTACACCTGTCTCTTTCAACACGCGTTTTATCAACAACCTATAATGAATTCGAATAATCAAGAAGCTCGTATACTCCTTGCTATCGAAGTTATTCATAAAGATAAAAAATTAAGCATTCGAAAGGCTGCTATGCTCTATAATATTCCTCGTACGACTCTTCGACATAGAATGGAAGGTTTACCTCTTCGTACAGAAACTCGAGCGAATCGTCATAAGATTACAGAATTAGAAGAAGAGGTGATTGTTCAATATATACTCGATATGGATTTAAGAGGATTTCCACCTAAACTAAAGAATGTGGAAGATATGGCGAATGATATTCTCGAATCGAGGGGTGCGAAACGCGTTGGGAAGCTCTGGGCGCATCGATTCGTAAAGCGTCGAATCGAATTAAAGACGCGTTTTAGTCGTGTTTATGACTTTCAAAGAGCTCTCTGTGAGGATCCTAAGCTTCTTGAAGAGTGGTTTCGACTAGTTGCGAATATGCGAGCGAAATACGGCATTTTGGACGGAGATTTCTACAATTTCGACGAAACAGGCTTTATGATGGGGATTATATGTGCAGCAATGGTAGTAACTAGTGCTGAACGAAATGGCAGAAGCAAGACAGTACAGCCAGGCAATCGAGAATGGGCTACAGCAATAATATGCGGAAATGGAGAGGGTGAAACTATTCCCCCATTTCTAGTAGTTCAAGGACAAGTTCATCTCTCCAATTGGTACACCGAAACGAATCTTCCTGCGGAATGGGCTATTAAACCTACATCTAATGGGTGGACGAATAATGAGACGGGTTTAGAATGGTTGAAACACTTCGACAAGCATACTAAGAATCGAAGAAAGGGCAAATATCGAATGTTGGTACTGGATGGGCATGAAAGCCACGAATCAGTAGCTTTTCAAGCATACTGCAAAGAGAACGATATTATATGTTTACGTTTACCACCGCATTCAAGTCATTTAACTCAACCACTTGATGTTGGCTGTTTTAGCAATCTAAAACGTTCATATGGTGGTCAAATTGATGGATTTATCAAGGCACATATCAATCATATTTCGAAGGTTGAATTCTTTATAGCTTTTAAAGCTGCATACGAGGAATCAATCACTTCTCAGAATATGAAATCAGGATTCCGAGGAACAGATTTAATCCCATTTAATCCTGAAGCTGTACTCTCGAAATTAGATATTCGAATTCGCACACCTACCCCCCCCTCTTTCGACCTAGATCAATGGATCTCTCAAACCCCTCGCAACCCAACTGAAGCTCTTTCTCAATCAACATTAGTTAAATCTCGAATAACTCGTCATCAAGCAAGCTCTCCTACACCTATATTCGAGACTGTACTAGCTCTAGCTAAGGGTACAGAGAGATTAGCTCATGAAAACACACTTTTAAATACAGAGATTCGTACACTTCGGACAGCAAATGAAGCATTAAGCAAGCGTCGACGCGCGAAAAAAACCCAATTACGTCAAGGAGGAGTGCTCACTGGACAAGAGGCTCTTGATATATTATCTCAGCAAGAGGTTGATATTCAGATTCAACGCGATGAGCGTCAAAAAGGGGGGAATTCTAATGGGGAAGCATCTTCTAATCGATGTTGTAGTAAATGCGGAAAGACAGGACATAATGCAAGAACCTGTCAAAATAATGTAATAGATCCTAGATTATTAGATTCTTAATAGTTTCAATCAATTGATTCAATTGTTGTTGAATAATATGGGTTTGAAAGTGTAAATTGAGGTGAAAGTGGGCCACTCGATGATATGGGCCACTCGATGATAAACCACGTTACGTCAAAAAAAGGTTACTGTTTCTGGCGTCAGGGCAGTGATTAATAAGCGACCGACCACTGAACGCCTAGGTTAACCAACTTCGTAGTCCAACAACAGTTACCTCAACCACAGTAAGCGTCAATGGATTAAATTTCCCTATGTTCCTCATACTGCACTAGTTATGCACCTAATAGGATAGGGCTCGAAGCGCAGAATTCTCTTCGATTTTGTTTCCACGGATGAATGAGATGATATGGCACAGTGCATGAGAACCGTTTCGGCGTACATATCGAAAATATAACATGACAAGAGTAAGGGCGGCATGTTGGGTTCTTCGGTTCGGTATAATGTATCTTCTCATACCTACGTTCTCGATTCCATTTCAATTCTTTGAGATAGCAGCATAGTATGGTGCATATGAAATCTTCTTGGACATCAGCTCCACATGCAATTCTAAAAGCAAGACATACGTCTTACTCCCAAAATGCGGTTTCAAAGCTTCTCTAAAATCTCTTTCAAGGTTTTATTTATAGTTGTCATTTTGCTCTTACTTCTCCCGGAGGAATTTATCCTACCTAACGAGGTCGAATGCACAAGATAATAGAAAGATGTGATTGGTCCACATGTAGTTATTTTGTTGTGAATAGAAGCTTTGCGGTCCATGTCTCGAGGCTCTGTTACCAGTATCTGCTTTCTGCAAATTAGTGAGATTTTCATGTGCAATACTCCATTTTCAAAGCGGGCGGAAGGATCCTCGTCGCTCGTATCGTTATTTTATCATAGTATTACAGTGTGGCCAGAAGAGTGTTTTATTTATAGAAATCCTTCAAGATTTTGGTCCACTTATTCAAGGCGAGACAGGAGAACAAATGAGCCCACCATTCTCATTTCCTGTGCACAAAAAGGATCAGCATTTTTAACGACCCCAACTTAACATGGCCCATATTGACAAAGATTGACATACGAGTGCAGATGACTGCATGAATCAAATGTTATTCAGAGAGCTTATTCTTCAGGATATAGTTACAAGAAGTTTCTTTTTAACAAAATCACCTTAGCTTTAACCTTGGCTCATCGTATGGGATAAATTGGGCCAACCTCGTGAAGTTTGACGCAAGTGCCTAAACCAGAAAAGGAATGGAGATAACACCGACAGAGTTTGTGGTCTATGTAAATTGCCAATCATCAGATCCAAGTTTCCATGATATGCGCTAAGTGGGCATGGATTGGTCTCGTTGCCTCCATCCATGGAACTTGTGCTGAATTGCTGAGCCTCCGCAAGTTCCACAGCCCCTTTGATCATGGAGGATATTTCATCGTGCTGTCACATACGAAGCAGGTCCTAAGAACTGTAATAAACTTCCACCAGTTCAGGCCAATCCCATTCCTCGAAAATGATCATGGAAATCAAAGATCATAGAATTTTAGAGACCCCTCTTTGTCCTGCTGTCGATGTTAATATCGAGAATATCATGAATGAAAGCCCAAAAGAGTGTTCAAACCTCAAGATATACGCTCTCAAGTCGAGTAATGGCATCGGAGACTTCAGTTGGAAAAGATCAGTGTAAGTTTTTCTTTGAGTAACATTCATAACGTATTAGGGATTTGTATCTTTGTCTACGCGGAGGAAGATTTTAGAGATTGACGAATCATCACATTCCAGGTTTTGGACACTCTCCTCTTCGGTATCAATATATGCGAGCAAACTCCTGTTGCTAGAAAATGGATTTCGTAAGTCATAGAGTAGCAAATATATTTACTCAGGCTGATTTTAAGACAGATTACCGTACGGCAAAGGCCCATATCCACATTACGCAAATGTTAATCATCATCCAGCTCTCACCGTCGCTACATCCTACTTCGGCCTCTGTTTATCTATCTTCACCATCGCATCACACCATAAAGGGGGGATTGATGTCCAGTGTACTATGAGTGACTTTTGGCCCACTCGGTCATGGATTTGTATGATTCCGGCCTCATTTGCTTCTGCAGTTGCTTTACCATTGTTCATGGAGGCACTTACACATATGTCAAGTCTCCCTGTTTTGGTGATGCTCTTGTGAGTGGTGTCCAGAAAGTCATGAAAATATAACGCTAACAAACCCCAGCCACTAATCTACCTGATAGAACATCTTACTCTCTTTATTTTCTGTTCATCAACACGTTCTGCAAGATGCTTATCTCTTTGAAACAATTGGCATCACAATATTCACAACTTTAGTCCTGTACAATGAGAATCGTCTCACGGTTCCAGGAATTATTTGTGGCATTGGAACTTTCATCATGGCGGGATTTTCTAGAGCACTTTTCCTCATGGCATCTCAAAAATTGTGTGATGACGAACATAGGATATCATCATCCTACCATGGTTATATTTTAATGACCACAACTTTGGCTTCCTCATAAGTGGCTCTCTAGCTTTTATTTATGAGGCCAATTTACTAAATCACTCTCTCAATTCAGAGACTGTGGTTTTGTTTCTCATATCTTCGGCAAGCTTGGTTGGAGCAACATTCAGTGGCAACAGTTTCCTTGTCTACTCTCCAATCTATTGTTCGGTTCGAGAGAACTGGGATGCGAAGTTATCCCTTCCGCTTTTTGAGGTTATCCTTTCGGGGGTCGCTAGCATTCTTATTTTGCTCATATCATTGACGTTTGGGCCTGTATCTGTGGTATCATGGGTTCAGTTTAGTACCTACTTTCTGGCCATGTTATGTCTCATTGGAGTTTCTACAGTTCACATATTCTTCGAAAAGGTGTTCGAATATCTTCAACGTCGTTTCTTATGCCGTCCATGTGACAAGGGCCCGTATCCCATGCCGAAGAAAAGTTACGTGTTGGTTTTAAAGGTCTCGCTCACTGCCTTGGCTGTACTATCTTTCTATGCATTGTCCCTATTACAACTAGGCGGCTTGTCGCCTGGACCAGCCCCCTCTATCGATAATTCATACACTCCGAAACCATCGTCATTCGATATCGTGATAAGCGCGTACACAGAGAGACCCGAGTCAGTCGCACGCATGCTGCACGCTATCAAATCAACATCTTACTTATCTTCAATTGATCCCCGCGTTCTGATCTACACCAAAGACCCCACTGTATCCTTATCCATGTTGAAGAATTCCACAGGCGCTGATGTCGTTAAACGTCTACCCAATCTTGGGAGGGAGGGAGGGACGTATCTCAATCACATTGTTAACGAATGGGACCATCTCGCGGCTCAAACCATGTTCATTCAAGCTCATGCTCATAATATTCGGGAGCTTGTACCTCGAATCAACTCATACTTAGTGCCGCAAACAGGAATGTTGAGTCTCGGATTTTCTGAAGCCACTTGCTCATGCCACAATTGTGGTGACAGGTTTGGATGGAAAGATGACTGGTCTGTGGTCCCAAGTCTATATGAACGTATCTACGACTCGAGTTGTTCCGATTCCACCGCGGTTCTTCTATCATACAAGGGTCAATTTGTCGCATCAGCCAAACGGATTCGTGGCATTAGTCGAGGAATTTATGAGGACTTACTGTCCACGATAACAAGTGAAAGTGGATGGAGTCATGATCCACGGTTTGTGAACAAAAATGATTCGCCTGACAATCCTTCGTTTGGATTTGCAGTCGAGAGAATATGGGGTCTACTCATGCAATGTGCGACCGATGACCGAGTTTCAACAAAGTGTCCGTCTATGCTAAGCGGGATGACTAGGGGAGATAATGTTGGGGATTGTCAGTGCTTGGATCCAAAATAAATATTTATTGGTCATTCATCTAGGCGGGAGAGAGAAATTGGCTAATTGGTAATACCTGGAGTTTGGTGTAGGCACCGGAATACATTGCGGCCAATGGTATTTTCAACACGGATTCATGGGTTGGGATATAGCATGAAATTAGATTGAATATTTAAGTCGTTAGAGCTTTCATGAATGTGTGGTATCGATTGTTGTAGATTCTAAAGGAGAGTACTATAAGTCTCTTTTGATGAAGCTTTTGTTTTTAAAGGCTTCATTACCACCTCCAATGACTTGGGTAGATTCAGCTTTTCCTTGTCAAAATGCATAGCTTTTAAAGTTTTGAGATGTTCAATGATTGATAAATTTTTCAAATTTTGAGATATTGGAGATTTTGAATAGATTTTCATTCCATTCTTAATCATATCAATTTATTTAACAGTTTATTGTTTAATCAAAGATTTAAAGTGTTACGAGGTTTGCCGTCTAGATCACGTGGAAGTGCTCTAGGCTCTCGAGGTGGTTTATAACTAGGCGTTAAGCAGGGACTTAAGTAATGACAATAATGATATACAATTCGTAACTAGTAGTAGAGTATACTAAATGATTGATCTTGAGCACGAAGCTCTATACAAAGGAAACCCATACTGAATATATAGATATTCATACTCCCTTGGATCCTTTTGGATCCTCAAGCTCCAAAAGCTCCAAGTCACATGTTTTCTGACAGTGCGTGCGCATACGATCCTAAAGTGACCCAGATCACATATTAATTCGATGAAATCTGATCGCTTTTGCACAAGGCCCAAGCTCTCCTAATTAGTCAGTTGTTACCATCGTAACAGACTGGTCTATCCAGTCTAAAGGATAGCCTGGGTATACCAATCTATCCAGGCTATCCAATAGCATTCAGAAGTATATAGTCAGAGTAGTTTCATAGTATAGGAGCTTCGTGCTCAACTTAGTTATCAATTAGTTTACCTACATTCTACTTGATCTAGTGACGACTTCACTTCCAAGTGAATACCAGTGATAAAGCCTTAACCCATAACTACCAACCAGACGAAACCTTAGGCAGCCGCTGCCTCCAGTACAGTATCGTTACAGAGGGTGGCCGAAAAGTGGGGTACTAGACTTCCGTAGTGTGGATGCATTTGTCATCATAATTTGCCTCTGACATAGCCAATCAATTAATTTTTGCTTCCAAGTTCACTCCGGTCATTGATCAACAATACCCTGGTCAATTATCGTTCTTCGCAATTGATTATTATGAACCCATGGGTCCGTTGATTTCTAATATTCCCGGCTAGCTTCCAGCATGAAGATACGCACAGCTCATGATCTGCATCATGTCATAGATCGGTGCTAAGAAAGACGAGAAATCTTAAAATTTTAATGGATAAGAACAATCGCCCCAACATTCGGGGTTTTATCCTCTTTGGTTGCACGAGTATATAGCTACGAGAAAACCAAGAAGAGGTTTTGATTTACAACACATATCAATCAGGTAGCAGAAAAGATCATCATGACTATCACCAGTACTATTCACGTTCCTCATCTAGGTGGAGTAGAAGTAGGGTATGTTGAAGAAATCATGATGATTTTTCTTGCAGTCCCCAAATTCAACAAGCAACCTTCGAGCTAACATTGTCAACTTCACAGCTACCAAATGCCCAAGACCTATGACCCATCTAAACCCACCGTCATCCTCGTAAATTCATTCACGACGTCGTCTGAACTCTATCGCCACCAATTTGAGGATGAAAAACTTAATACAGCAATGAACCTCCTTGCTATAGAGCCATTGGGCCATGGCAAGACAAGGACAAAGGCCGAGAATTGGACTTAGTGTGTTGTTTCCTATTTCTTCACGTCCTTCAACTTTTCCCAACCTTTTCATATGCTTCTATCCCTGTTATGAGAGCATGACAAGATAAGACTAACACCCATGAGTTGGGATACTGCGATAGCCAATATTCAGGTAATGGACAAGCTGTCCATTACAAAGGCATTTGTTCTTGGAACTTCTCAGGGTGGCTGGGTGACAGTTCGAATGGCCGTAATTGCACCCAACAGAATACAAGGCATCATCCCTCTTGGCACATCCATGGATTATGAGTCTGAACGAACACGTTCCCTTGGTTGCTGGGATAGTTGGGCACCATTAAGTCAAAACATTGAGAAATGGACCATCAACCCTGGATTGGTGACTGATGATTTCGAGCCTGAGGATGAATATTGTGATTTTTTGATCGGGACAGGATTTAATGATTGCTCATCAGATGTGCGAGAATTTTGGAGGAAAACAATTAAGGAAACATACCGCGGCGACGAAGGTAGGAAACGAATTCGAATGGCAGCCATAAATCTCAGGGACCGCGACGGATTGCATGGACGCTTACCGGATGTGCGGTGTCCGGTTCTGTGGTTACACGGAACATCGGATGTAGTATATAGTGTGCCGAATGCACAAGAAGAGATCAAGATGTTTGTTAATGCTGCCAGTAAAGAGCTTGTCATCGTGGAAGGAGGGGCTCATTTCTTGAGTGCATCTCATCCGGATGAGGTTGGAAGGGCGTTGATTGAGTTTGTTGAGAGGCAAAAGGGTTTGGAACTGGAAATATGAATTGCTCCGATTGTTTCTTTTTTTTTTTGTTGTTTTTGTTAAAAGGAACGACCTTACACAGGGAATAGTGGGAAGCTGATAGGGCAGAACTGAGGCTATATTGGTCTTGTATATAAATCACTCACTCTCTTAGTTCTACAGAATTGCGAAGCTCTTCTACAGAGAGCTTCTCAATCTAGTCCTAATAGGACAGTGCCTTGTGCACGTGCTACGCAGAAACCATTCACTTTAATAGTTTTCCTAAAATTCGTAAATTTATTGCATGTAGTATGGGCAAAGTGTGCGGGGTCTCTAGTACTCAAAATGATGACTTCTGGAGACAAGCTCTTTTATTTACCATCATCGATGTCTATTTTGCCTAGAATCGAAATGTCTACTTGGAGGAATTGAAGAAACTGCAGCCTCCAAACTCAAGGGCGTCATGAATGGAAGTTGCGTTGAATGGACTGACAAGTTTGCACCCATTGAGCTTATTTTGCAAGCAGTAAATATAGTTGAGTACCAAAGAACCTACTTATATTGGCTGCACAGACAGACGCTGAGAGGAATGATAATTGTAGTATTCGGTGGTCCAGTCAATGGTGCACAATCATAAGGCTCTAGTAGAGGCCCGTCTCCCATCTTATTTGCAAATGACTGTAGATAGCGATAAAATATTATACCGAATCAAATCTTTTACTCTTTTACTTGAACATGATTCCCTTCCTAGCAGCAACGGCCCTAAAGATAACAACCATTCCACCAGTTGTTCGTCGATCAATTAATTGATGTACTCGGCCATGGCCATTCAGTCAGCCAACCTGACCAGGTGATATACTCTTGCTCTGCATCTACCATTCCATAAGTGCCTAAGTCCAAACTGGGTATCCTTTGAAGGTTGCTCGTCGAATCGCTCGTAATTCACACCTCAAAGCCCCAGATCTCTCGTCGCTCACACAAGTCGGAACCTGTTTGCCTTCACATGCTGAACCTCAAACAGCATCGTCGAAGTATCATAGCTGAAGGAATTTTTTTATCAAAACTAACAGAAGAAGAGACGGATCGACTAATGGCATCTTCGAAGGCCATTTATGAGTTCGTAGACGCCCGTGCATACGTTTGACTTCTCAGCATGCGCTGATAGGTTTTTCTGAACTAAATCGTCTAGTTTCCTGCATCAAATGATTCCAACATGTCGTGTCTCTAGGCCAGGGGGTCTTTAGCAATATTTGTGCTGCGCGATGCTGGAACATGCATGATATTGCGGGTGCTTCCAACTAACGCCAAATAGTCATACTGAACTAAGATCCTGAGCGGTTGTGCTACAGGGTCTCTAAAAAGCGATTGACCAATAGGACTGGTTTATATGTGACTTGAGGCTGAAAATGTAACTTTGCATTCCTTGTGTCAATGAAAGAGGTAGGGCAGAAGGAAACATGGATTATCCTGTAAAGTATATTGCAGCTAGCTATCTTGAGAAATTTAGTACAATGCTTATATGTTGAAAAAGTCAGGAGGCTGGGCAAGCCCACTCCTAGATAATGTAGAACTTGGACATCTTCAATTGCCGTGGTCTTTGGTCATTTCACAATCGTATCGTGATTTGCACCTTCTATATGGGGGGCACAACTCAGTAAAACACTCATAAACCACGACACAGTTGGAAATTGTCAATAGGAAACGAATGTCATAATAGCATAAGGCTGCCTCTAATAGTCGCCGCGACACGCTGATTTATACGATAGTCTCATGAGAAGGACAGAATGCGGCATAAATCTAGTGATTCCAGCGAAATCCATCATGTTTCAAGGATTCCCATCAAGGATGTAGGCTAGTTCAATGATACATTTACAGAGAATGGACTCTGTCGATCAAAGGCGCTGCAGAAGACAAGCTTAGAACTAGAGGGGTGCAGAAAATCGATCAGTACGAGGATGAAATTGTGAGAAAAATTGTGTTTGTGGAGGAATCGTGGGTTTTTCATGAGCCACCATCGGATATGATCAATCTGAAGAGCATAACCGAGTATCTAGATGCATCGTGAGTAAACCTTCCTGGCGCGCCTTTGCAATATCTTACCATCTCTAAGTCTTGAATTAAGCAGTTAATAGTCAAATTCCTCACAAAAGTGGACAAATCAAAGTGATTTGCATAAAATAACCCAACTGTCTACCACTCAAAATGTTGAGAATAAGTGTAATATGGGATTCATGCCAGACAAAGTTGAGAAGGATCGTGAAACTAAATTGGCTTCAAACCAGCATAGTGAATCCACTGCGACATGGGGAATACACTTGTCACGGAATTAGGAAAGGATGGAAGATGTTGAGACTGGGGTTGTCAGTATCAGTCAAATCCCGAAGAATGTTATGTAAGAAATGTTATAGGAACGCTAAAGAATGTTATCAGCTTCACAACAGGAACTGGATAGCATGAATACTGAGGTAGATTCAAACAATAATCAAAATTTCTTCACAGACCAAGAAGGATATCAAGGAGATGGAAGTTTTGAATACTTTGCAGAAAGGGGAAATTCTGTTTCAAAGAACATTTGGAGTACGATACAGGTTGTTTGGAAGACCGTGGATGGGAAACAACAGGCTCAATGATTAAAGCCAGAGAAAAATCTGTAGGAAGTAGTGGGATTTGAGGGGTTCTGCTAGGAGTCCCATACTCATCCATTGAGTCGTCGAGCCACAGACCGAAAATGTCTGCGAAACACATCTCGCAGAGATCCCCGCCACCATTCTTCCCATTGTGCAATATATTCATATGTATCTTAACCGGAACATCATGCGACATTGAATGCTTGTGTACAGGACATAGCCCTGACTGCCTTGCAGATGATAGCTTGTACTGAGCTGGCAGTTGTCTCATAGCCTGCGCGGCTTTGAGATTTCGAATGCCATATTTCACAGCAGTCCGACCGGGCCCATTTCCAACCTCCGCATATGTTTATTCGCTCGAAAAGTCAAAGTCGCGACGAGTCCATCTCGACATACCCTGCAAGTAGAGAAATGAGTTGCGCACTGCACGCAATAGACCTGCCTGGGTCGGTACCTCGACGATGTTACATGCCTTTGAGAAGCAGCGCAAATCTGCAATTCGATTCTAGAACTTTATTTCTCCGAAACAACCCATATTTGAAGCAACCAGTATTGATTTCATTAGTTGCTACTCTTTTGAAGAAGTTTGTCATTCAATTACCATTAAAGAGAAGATTGGATCAGATTGTTTGAACCACAATTTTTCACCGCCTGGCAGAATCAGGTGCTGTTCTTGGCTTCCATCAAAACAACTCAAGCTACTTTATGAACTACACATCCAGGACCACCAGACCTACTACTCACTTACTATCATGTCTACACCATGGTCACATCATCAAGAAGATTCGGAAGCTCAACCTATGCAGCATCATATGAGGTTGTTCTTAACATGGTACTTCACACTCCATCCGACTTATTTACTCCACGAGTTTTAACCCTTGCTTTGGGCTTGGTGCCGAGCTTTCAATAAATGTAATATAGATTGAATTCTGACATATCCGTTTGCACGCATCGAATTTAATACCTCATGACCTCACGAGACGGTAAAGTCTCTATATACACACACAATTACACACAAGCCTTTTGAGCCAACATAATCAGGCGTTGAGCGTCGGTCACAATTTTTGGATCCCAAAGTTGCAGGAACATCTTCGATTCCCACCTTCCACGCAAGAGAAGTTTGCATATCAGTATTGAGTACATTCAAATGTAAACTTGATATTTATTCAGAGTACAAGGACCGTCATAGTTGGCCACATAACTCCACATTTTGTTTCCAAAATTCTATCAGATTCTGAGATAATTTATCTTGGCTATCTCGCACAAACATCCAAGAACATTAAGTTGATATCACTCTCTGTCGCGGTCTCCCAGCGGAGGTTGAAGAACCAATGAACCATTCGGCCCCGGAAGAACTTGCCACTCACAATCTCCACTAAATTCTCTTTTGTTGGGGCATGCAAGCATATCTGGAAATGCTTCTTTATGCCCCTGAGGTGATACGAGCTTCAATATTGTTATCAACATGATGTTGGAGTTGCAGGGAGCTGCAGTGGTCCATAAACGGCGTGCGACCATGCTTCTCCACGTTTTCATCCCACCAGCTAAGCGTTTATCACCTACACATCATTTGTTACCTTGCACTACTGAAGATCATCTAAATCTTAACATCATCCTCGGATATGTGCCTTGATTTCATGGATGTAAGTTGTGAGCGCCGGCTGACGTGTGTTTGCATGCATTTCGTACGTTCTGAAATGGAGAAATTCATGTGGTTAGCCTCCTCCAGTTTGTTGCAGAATGTTTACAGGATAGAGTACACCACGTGCAAATCTCCGAGGTGTTTCGTTGGCATAACAATTCTCCGAATTGAGGGCCATGCCGTCGAAGCGGTAGTAGCGTTGGTGTCATCCATGAAGTACAACATTGCCAAGCTCTACCATACTTGGAGGTATACGCCATTGAGTTGCGAGAATGATGGGCTCCGGTGGACTCGTAGAAAACTGTTGACAGTATCTACACGACGCAGTGGAAGGATCACAATACTCATGATTTTATTTTTTTTTGGCTGATGTTTGATGGACTCAATGCATTCTGTCAACCGCATTGCGGTATCATTGACACGTCGAGCGCCAGAATTTCACAAGAACTTCCGTCACATTTTGTCATAATTCAAGCAGATCTTCAAGGTTCGAATTTTTGTGCCTCTAGAGGGAATACACTTGATACCACACGGGTCATGTAGCTTGTTTGGCTTCACTTTCAAATTGTTCATACCGCTGCCAATCTGGAATCTACTATTCGCAAAGTGATTACATTTTTCCGGCTGTGAATATTGATGTGATGACGAAATTTTCGTCTAGTAAGGACGGCTGACATGTGGGAATTGGCTAATCCGATTGTTCAAATCTTCCAATTACCAATGCTACCAATGTTCGGCCCAAAATCATCATCTAGCAAAGATGGAGAGTTGATATTGCCAAATTACCTTGGTGGCAGAAGCAATAAGACTTTTAATTCCAATATCCAATGAATCATCGAGAGGCACAGATTAGACAGCTCCGATATTTCGTGCTTTCGTCAAGTGGCGACTTTTAATTTTTTGGAATTCTCGGGTCTTTAAATCCGGCCAAGAACCAATTTACCTACATCAAACGAAGCTGCCCCCGCGCTAGAATCTGCAAAGAAGACTTCGTCATCGGCTCTAAACTGATTTCCCCGCCTAGCGTCTTTAGCCGTTGAAACTAGCTAGTCCACCACGTTTGACATCATGATGCTTGAGCGTTTTATGCTCACAACATACCCATAGCTAATTTTTGTTCACTCATTCATGTTTAATTTATCTTGATGCATACTGTTAGTTTCAGTTGCGGAATTAACATCGTACTTGCTAGTAAACCTGTCAATATTTCGGGATCTCTCCCTTCTGAAAAATTCTACGCGATTTTCTAGTCCGCTAAATGGCTTTTTCTGATATTTGAGTTTCTATCGTACACAATTCGATATTTTATCTTATGCCACAACTTGGCGAGACATTAGTCCAGACCTTAGAATTCCAAAAAAGCATATAGTTATCTGCAATTTGAGGCGTAGCGCCTCTACATTTGCAGCGTTCTACAGTATGTCACTTGTCATCCAACTCAGTGACACCGCATTATAACAATATTGACCAAATTCTTTGGTTTCAGCGCATCTTCCATCATGCGACCTTTGCGGGATACACTGAGCCTCAATTTCACTTAGTATATTATTGATCGTCATATCACTCCACGTTCATTGGTAGCATAATATCCTGGGGTATCGGAATCTTTTCTAACTTTGGCGTGCAAATGAGAAGGGGGAACCGGTTTGGCCATTACACTGCATAAAGAAGTTTTTGTTATATCCTCTCTTCTCCTCTGCATCTTCTTTCTCTTTAACCTTTTTAATTATCCATTGTTTCGAAAGTTCCTTATCTTTCCCATTGTGAGGATAGATGAGATTAGTTGGTTAGAACAGTCTGATTTTTGAAATCTTCATTTTATATCTCAATTATTTATCACCTAAGTGATAGCACCTCATCAAAGAATGGCATTGAAGGGCTCAATTAGAGACCTTTTGGTCTCTATGATCGGTGAATTTGTTGGAACATTTCTATTCCTCTTTTTCGCATTCGGTGCGGCACAAACAGCGAATCAACCCAACGGAACCAAACCTCTTGCACCCAACGCAACCGATCCATCAAAACTTCTGTTTATTGCCCTTGCATTCAGCGCCAGTCTCGCAGCAAACGTTTGGATCTTCTTTCGTGTCAGTGGTGGGCAGTTTAATCCGGCTGTGACCCTTGCACTCGTGATCATCAGAGCAGTGTCTCCTTTGAAAGCATTGGTACTCATTCCTGCTCAACTTGCGGGTGGAAGCTTAGCTGCAGCAGCAGTGAAAGGTATCATACCGGGTAATGATATTCTTTTCGCAGTATCGCTCGGACCGGGCGTCACACACGGTAAGCATCAAGATGATTACGAAGCATGAGATCTCAACTAATTTATTCGGATAATAGTTCAAGGCTTGTTTATCGAACTCCTCTTAACCTTTATGCTCGTTATCACCATCCTCATGCTCGTTGCTGAGAAAACGAAGTCTACTTTTCTCGCACCCATTGGTATTGGATTCTCTCTCTTCATCGGCCATCTTGTCGGTATATTCTGGACGGGAGCAGGAATTAATCCAGCCCGAGCATTCTCACCAGCCCTCGTTCAAGCCTCATTCCCAGGCTATCATTGGATCTACTGGCTTGGTCCTGCTTTAGGATCGTGCCTTGCCGCAGCAGTGTACCTGGGTTTAAAAGCAATGAAGTATGAATTGGTGGGTGGAGATGCGGATAAAGAAAAGGGAGAGGAAGGTTTAACTATGCAGCAGGCAGACGTTATCTTAGAAACCCTTCGTGGATTACCTAGAGCGATGCAAACTTCGGGGACTACTACAGGACAGTCTGATGGTATGACAGAATCTCAAAGGGATTGGTGGAGGTTGAGTGGCTTGGACATGTATAAGATGGATGAGAAGAAGGCCCATTATGGAAGTGAAAACCGAGACCCCGGGGATTTGGAAAGGGGTTTCGATGTCAGAGTGTTGGGGGACGATATGAAGATTCGGAAGAGTCGATTCGGACCTAACGATCCTGCTAATTTTCCTACCTGGGTCAAGTAGTCCCTTTTTATGGCGATATGACATTCGTCTTGAGTACTATAGGATAGCATTGATTTAATTGTCCGTTCAGCAAGAGATAAGGGTGAATGGATGGGAGGTGGATGGTACGGATTAAGAGCAGCAGGGTATTGGTATGGAGAAATACGGGAATATACCAGATGACGACGATTATGATCTATTCATTTACGAATCTTCTTTGTTGTGGGAATAACGACCAGTCATTTGAGCAATGGGCGTTTGACGGAGGGTTTTCATGTAAGAAGCAAAAATGGCAATTGTTGGATCTACATACACCACAAACTACATTCATGGCAACACCGAGTAGTTTTTTTTATTTTACATTACGCTCGTTATAATTTTAATATTTTGACTTACAAACAAATTTATTCCAATTTCTGCTCCAAATTCGCGATTGTAACCCCAAATGATCTTAGCCTTGCACCATCTAGATATTTTCTCACAGTCGTCTTATCTTGAACGAGTTTCAAAGTAGACCGAATGGATGGATGACCCCGGGGGTTCTCAAGCTCGAATGGACGTGCGAGTCGATTCAAGTTCTCTGATGTTATGCATTAAATCAAGCATCAAGCATTTTAAAAACAGCCACTCGGACACATCGATAAAAGCTTTGGATGAAAATTCTTCAATCTAGAACTTTCGTTGTGTTACTTGTAAGTTGGGTTTGAGCTAGAAGTTTTATAATTTTATGATTTACTGTCATTCTATAAGTGTTTAAGATTGATATCGCTAGTACAAAGTTTTGGTGCGATTAAACAAGGTTATCGAGTGGACACCAGACTTTGTCCGCAGTCCATCAGGCCGTATGACTGAAGGTAAGGCACCCAAGAATATCTTTTGATCTACCGTCGCCGAGGTCATCTAGTCCAAGGTTAATACAATGACATTACAATGCATTGTTTCGGTAAAGGATCAAAATGAACGAATAATAAACATCTCATGTGAAGTTTTATGAAGCTTTGCCTTGTAAGATCCTATCTCTATATGATGACATTACATTTTAGCAGCATTTCCATTTTCACCACTGCTATTGACCGATTGTTCCAGGCTAACGAATTGACCTTCTTTGACCTTTGCAAATAAATCATCAAACCTATCGAGAGCAATTTGATAACAATCAAAACCATAAATTTTCTTCTGGACCTCGGAATCGGCCCATTTATCTGGTACTGCACCACCCTTTTGCTTCAGTGCAGCAAATTGCTTGTCTCTCTCCGCCTTTGCAGCTCCATCTCCTAAATGTAAAGCTCGTCCGGATTGTGCAGCTAGCTCGACAAGTGTCTCGGCACGTTCTTTTCTTACACTTTCATAGACCAGTAGAGATTTGTTGATATCCGAGGGGTCACTAGAAGGGCATTTAGAAAAGACGGCACCCAGGACGGCAGCATCCTCAATTGCTTGTGCAGCACCTTGAGCCAAATGAGGAAGGGTTGGATGGCAGGCATCTCCGACAAGTGCGATGGAACCCCGAACCCAAGTAGGAAGTGGGCTGTGAACACGGAGTTTCCATTCGCATACCTCCCCATCAGGAACAAGATTCAGCATACGTTGGACTTTAGGGCAGAAGTCGGAGAAAATATTTAACATAGCAGCCTTGTCACCTTTGGTGGTATAGGTGGCGGATGGAGCGGCGGCGAAGTTGGTATCAGGTTGGACGGTGGAGAGGTTATAAATCTGCTTGCTTGAGACTGGGTAAGCAATAATATGTCTTTTCTCTCCAATCCATCTCGTGACCTTATCTCCGTTGATAAGTTCCAAAAGTTCGGTGTCGTTTTCCATGTCCTCTCGCTTTAGCATAATTCTGTATGCTGCCTGGTTCGTGTCGGTAATATGTGCATCATGGTTCAATTCAGCCAAAATCTTTGACCGAACGATAGATTTAATACCATCTGATGCGAGAATGACATCTGCTTCGACAGTATAAGATTCTCCTTCGCGCGGCTTGACCTTGAGGACTGGTTTGGGACCAAAGGACTCTACGGCTTCAGCTGCTGTGGAAAAGTGAAACTTGATGCCACTTTCCTTCTTGCAAGCCTCATACATAGAGCCAGCAAGGTTGGATCGGTGACCAACCATGTGAGGATATCCATAGGTATCTCTTATGTACAAAAGATCCACGTGAGCTAGCTCATTATCGGAATCGCCCTCTGTTTCGGCTTTAGTTTTATGATTTGGTAGGAAGTGTTGTGACACGAGATACATGTTCAACTTCGAACCTTGGGGAGAACAGGTGAAGAAAGAAAAATGACCAAAATGAAAGAACGGGACATACGTCTAATACTAGTTTCTTTCAGATCCACAGCTTCGGCCTCGATCTCTTTCCAGCATCCCAATCTATCCAACACTCTCGCCATATTTGGCGCTAATTGAATGCCAGCACCGACAAACCCTAAATTTGACGCTGTCTCATAGACATCTATGTTTGTAAAGCCCTCCTTAGCTAAAGACAAGGCGCATGCTAATCCTCCCATGCCTAGGAACTGTCAGCTACTGAAGACTGAGTAAAGAAGAAGGAAGAATTATACCAGCTCCAATAATCACGATGTGTGATGCTCTATCCATGGTGAAAGCTTTTCAATGAATATACAGCTGGAAATGAAAGTTTTGTTCGGTGAGCTAATAACCTCTTCTCTTGTGTGATATTCAGAAGCAATGCGATGTCGAATGAGACCTAGAACTTAGAGTGTATGGCTGTATATAACACAGAGGCATCGTCTCCTTCTTTAAATCATTTCAAGTATAGCAAACCCATCTCGACGTACGTAACGTATGTGCCCCACGATCCCCACAGCTCGTGGTTGAAATCAAGTGCGGAAAAAGTCACATCCACACGGCTTCTTGATACGGGATGAGAGAAAAGGAGGCTGAATGAAGAAAACGGTTGTGTGGAATTAATTCGGCAGTGATTTAACTTTGCGTTGATTTGAGGAACTGTTATGATTGGTTAGTGAATGATTACATCATCAGTGAGGTGGGGATTCTCGGGACCGAAATGAATCAACCACCAAGAATTTTCAAGAGACCCCGCACACGTGATGTCGCCTACTTACATGTATCTTAAATGCATGTTCCAGCGATGAAATCTACCAAAAACAGGGAGAAAAGTTTAGGAGGTTGCCGAGTGATGAGTCCTGCTCTCCCTTAAGTAAACGGGAAGATACTAATGACGTCGAGCCTCGAACCCTAGTGTATTGTGGTTGCTCCAAACTCTACCATCTGTTGTTTTTGATCATCTCTGTTTATGACATTAGCTTCCTGGATACATATCTGTGCAGTACTCTTAATCCTCGCCAGCATTTTGATGATTTGAATGGAATGTGATACATTTAGGACAGGATAATGGTATTCTAGAGTTCACTTGAATATTCAAACACAAAAGTTCGATGTCCCCAATCACATTGTAAATTCTCGTGGTTTTTTGCCACCGAGACCAGAGAGTGACTTGTTACTCTCCAATATTTTCACATGAAGTTGTGAATAAAGCTCGCCCTCTGGATGATGAACAACGTATATATAATCGTGTTCTTACACAACGGACCATCCTTATGCATTGTACAACCCCATCTCCTCTCTCAATATAACTTTAGCTGTTACATAGTTCCACAATATCTGCTGGCACAAATTTCCTGAGGATACCCAACAGACTCTCCAGTGGCATCCAGTCCATGTCTCCATAAATGGACTTCATAGGTTGTCCACTATACAATACTCTTGCGAAATACCCATCAATAGTCGCTGTACTATTGTGAATCTTCCAAATCTCAAAAGCAATGTTACTTCCCATTCCAGGCCATCTTAAAGCATCGATTCCAAGAGCGCCTGCTATGGGCCCAATATCCCCGTCATGAACAAATATATGACTGTACTTTCCTTCTTGGATCGTTCCATTTGCCACACTTTCCAGTCTGGACACTACTTCCCCAATAAACAGCCCCTCCACAACTTGAATATATTGTTGGGCGAATGGATTGGCCCTCCAGTAATAGTTCCACTCCCAGTCACCAGCTCTAAAAACCTCTTCTGCCATCTCTTGAGTTACGCAATACGAGGAATTGGTCGGAGAACAAGGAAGCGGATAGCCATTACAAAGTCGAGCCTGGAAGTTATCGGCGAAATGATCCATTGTGCCTTGCCATGCACCGGAATTTGCTTCGAATATATTTCCAATGGTGGTGCGCAGGGCTGATGTGGCTGCTAGGTGAGCTTGCCATTCAGCTGTTGATTTAATTTTAGCCAGCGTAGAAGAAACGGCAGAGCAGGAATAACCCGCATTAACTGTATCGACTGAGGTGGCTTGTTGATGAAGAGGTATGGATGTTTTATAACCAGACCAGATTCCACGCAACACACCTCCAGCACTCTGTTGTGTCAAAGGTGACTCCGAGGAACGGAAGTAGGTTTCCTCTAGTGATGGAGTCATGGGGAAAAGACTCAATTTGCCAGTGGCACCATATACTTCGTTAAGGTCTCGGCCATGCTGATAGCCGTCTGATAGACCACCAATCGTAAGCTGCGGATACTGGCAAGTCCCTGAAATATATTTGCCCACGAAGGGATTGCCTGCATCTGTATATGTACTAGCATATACTGGAATAGGTTGTTGCATGGTGGTATCATCAGGTCCAGCGTAAAGATATGGGAGAATACCTGAGCAATTAAATGGTACAGTCTAGGATACATTTAGCATGTCATCCGACGCTTGAGCAAAGCAACTAACCTCCCCACTAGGTAAAACATTATACATTGTCCTCCTTTGATGCCTTTGTATATACTCCAGGTAGACAATCCCCGCCTTCACGGTCCCGTTAGCCACAGGCCCCGGAAGTTGGTATTCTTGTGCTCTTGGATGGGGCATAGAGCAGTAGTTGTATGTGCCATATGTTGTATTTGAAGTGGTAGACTTTCCAGAAATTGAATATATGCCACCATATGATCCAAGTGAAGTGTTACTGATATAGGAGGTGTCATTGAGATCGATTGGATAGAAAGTTTCCAGCGGTGTAAAAGCAATCGTCTTTCGTACTCCAGCCAGGAATACAAAAAAGATGTGGCTGCTAGTGAAAATCATGTCGAAACTGGCATATATGGCCATAAAAACCGAGGCGAATCCAATTACACAGTAAAGGAGCTTCCACGGCCACTTGATCACAGTCTTTTCTACGTGGCACTTCATTTATATATGCACGAGGTAAAATTAAAAAATTAAACATATTGGGATAGGAAAGCCGGTTGATAGCCAACAGCTGGTTCCTTCCTCTCCAGGAACACCAATGAAAATATACGTTTTTCACATGTGTTTCTCATTGGTTTAGCCTGCATACTCACCAAGACCACGTGCGAGCGAGATGGCCGTTTTCGGAGCTTTTTTCCAGAAAAAGACTTTTCGTTCCCCAATTCATCTCGCATTATCATATTCTCATTGTTTTGCGTGACACTGTCTACAGCGAAACGCACCAAAATATAGAGTATAATGCTCAATCAATTTTCTCCAGCCTTGTAAAGGCTATCACGAACTCAAAGCTTGCATCTTCATAGTCTCTGCCGTGATTACTCTTCCCTGCTGGCACCAAGAGTCCTATTAATTGCACGCGCGTATTCAAATGTTGCACAATTTTTGGTCTGGCCATACGGCTAATGCTTTCCAGGTTATTGCTGCATTCTTCGCTGCGGAAAAAGGTCCGCGCAGTGTAATTTGGCTCTCCAAAGGTTTCAACTTCACATCTTCAACCTCAACTGGTCGAATGGAGAGCACAGAAAGCGAAGCCTGGTGTCTTCTCAGATCTCAGAAGTGATAATTTTGGCCTTATGTCCAATGAGATTCAAAAATCAATCGGTATCGAAGAGACGCGGGTAGTGGTAATAGTGGAAGGTTTGTTTAGTAAGACAAAGACCGGTGGGCTTAATGTAGTTTTGGGAAACATGAGGATGTATAAATCACGTATTGCTACATCTTCGGAGCAATTCAACAGCCTCACTGCCGTATAGGAAATGTTACATACTGTAATCGAGATTACGCATCTTTGACGGAAGCTTCAATGAGGTGAAGCAATAGCAATCGCGATTTCTTTATCTTGGAGTCCGGCAGACTTCATTACTGCTCGTTCAAAGGAGTAGATTGATTTCCTTGAATAGAATAGTAATACTCCTGATGCCATGGTCCAAATGCAATTGAGGGTATCAAAGTTGATGTGTTTACCTCGCATGTTGCGATGTATTGTGAATGAATATGGAAGTTTCAGTGGTGATTTTAAGAATTATGATGGTTGAGGAGGAAATCAGATAAGATTAACGAGTAAGAGCTTACTTCCGGCGCTAAGCATCCACTGTAATTGAAAGCAAATCTACTCGAGTAACTAAAACACTAACATCGATCATTACACCTTTCGATACATTCCAAATACAATCACAAATCCTAAATACTTCATACAAGCGTAATTTCCATCACTCAAAAATATATCGCATCTATAATCTTTTTCTCCCCGTCGATTCTTACACCTTAGTTTGCACCATCTATGCTATGTATGCAGTGCAGGTAAAGTTAGGCATTAGAAAGCCCGTGTTGTAATGTCACAACATGCTGCACTTTTGAAGATGTTCAGCTGGTTACAGTGAGGCAAGGAAAGTTCCTGTCACTATTCTCAGAAAAAGAACTTTATTGAAGAGGCCTCTACTTCACGTTTAGCAATAGTCGTCAGACACTCCAAGATGTAGTATTTATTATCAGAATTCAATTTAATTTTTCTTACAAGAGTCATTTGAAAGCTGCCAAATATATAGGCAGTATTGTTGTGGCTGATTACCAAATTGATCCTTTCGTCTCTCCTAGATATGAAAATCTACTTCAATGTGTCCGCGCTATATTTACTTCTTGCTTCCCCTCAGGTTTTTCTTTGGTCCCCATTTCCTTAATTTTCCACGTGGCATAGTTCTATATATTGTCTCGGCATCATCCGTGTCCACTACGGCTAGCCCAGAGACGATCACTAGGCTAAGTCCACGTGGGTCTCACACTCACGTCAATAGGGGAATGCTTCTTGTTGCACGTTCCCGAAATATGTTTGGGGTTTTACTCAGCTGCACGAAAAAGTAAATATACCTCCAAATATTGAACACTGTATCTTGAGTAAATATCGAATCACATTTAGTACGTCCAACGGAGACATTTTGTGATATTGAAAGCATAACCCAGCCATCTCTGGACACGATATCCGTCCTGGAACCTATCCGCACCGCATCTACCATTGCTCCTTCTTACAGCCGCAAAGTGTATGCATTTAATCATCATGCTTGTTTCTATCGCCAGCTTTCTGCTTGTCTTAGAATCATCATTTCGAGCTCATGCTTCTCCTATATCACGCCAGCTTACCTCAACAGATGTTTCGCTCCAAGGCTTTGCCCTCCAGAAGATCCTCAAAATGGCATCTCCAATATTTGGAAACTATGCAGAAAATCAATTGAATACCTCGACATGGATGAGCAAGTATCCCGATTTCACAAAGCTCGTGCATATGAATATTCCGGGGACTCACGATACAGCAACTTGGAACTATTCTCAGACAACTCAATCGGCACTATCCGGTGTTACATCATTAGGGAATCAAGTCCCCGATCCACCAGAGTCTTATCGCTGCCAGAATAACTCTATAATCGATATGCTTGATGCCGGGGTCCGAGTATTCGACTTGAGATTTGCCTTAGACGTTACCAATACCTCGATTGTATTTTGGCATAGTCAAGCTCTTTTATCTCAAACAGCGACTTTAGATGATGTCCTTTTCGGTTATTATTACTGGCTTGATGCTCACCCCACTGAAGTGGTTTTGTTGAGTCTTCAATATGAGGGTAGTACGACTGAATATGGATCAAATGATGCTGAAGCACAACTGAAGCTATTCAATACTCTCACATCACCAGCATCAAAACAGTATCTGGTGCAGACGAAAGATGAGTTAGGAACTCTAGGCGAAGCAAGAGGAAAGATTATACTTCTCCGCCGATTCGATCTGGATCATCTATCAGACTCTTACGAAAATGCTTTACCTGGTCTCCATTTCTCTCCCACTCTCTGGACCGATAATTCTCCAGATATCAAACTCATCTATAATACTTCCACCAATGGCACAGCATATATCGAGGACTATTATGAGCCTCAGACTCCATCTCTGTCCAACACAGCGGTGAATATTCAATCAAAGTACAACGCAACCACAGCACATTTGTTGAAAGCAGCGGATGAATCTCTAGCACCTGATGGTTTGTGGTGGACTTGGGCAAGTGGAGGAAAGCTCTCAGATGGTGTCACTCCTGAAATTATGGCTATCGGTAATGGGACGCATACGCCAGATGGAGGTATCAATCAAAAGCTGGTGAACTTTCTGGGAGGAATGAGAGGAAAGAGGGTGGGAATTGTTATGTTTGATTTTTATGCGACACCTGGGGATTTGGTGGAGACTTTACTAAGTTTATAAATAAAATATCTGGTTGTTAGAAGATAGGATAATGTTATCTAATTAACTATACCGCTCACTTCTGGTTATAGTTTTGAGGATATATCGTTGGTTCCTTCAGTCGATTTCACGGGACTAGGTTATTTCGAATCTACCATTCCGCAAATCTTGTTTAATTCTCTTCCATACCAATCCGATATATCTATTCTTTGAACTTGTGCTAACAGAGGGGCCCAAGTTCATTGCAGCTCCTGCGCAAAAGCATCAATCATTTCCTCTGTCTTTTCTCGTTTGCAAACTCGGTTATCAAGTGTGATCATTTTATTAACTTACGTACAAGCGTACAAGTTGTTATACGCTCAACGTATCCGACTATAATTCGAGTAAACTATTCTATTAGTTTGCCTATATCGATGGAAAAGTATCCTCTATATAATCTCTTGCCAATCTTCCCGTTTAGCTTGGGGAATAGAGAAGATCTTTGGGAGAAGTAGAAATGAATGTTGCCTTCAACGGTGCATTTAATGGGTAGTATCCGGCAACGTTGAAGTAACTCGGTTTTTCTGGGTAAGGATTCAAAGTTGAAACCGCAATGGCTTGGGAGATCCTAAGCAAATATGTGTTGAGTCTAAAAATAATCTATCGAGTCATTGATTTCATCCGAGTGGTATAGATATTTTGCCCGCTTTGTTGTTTATCTTTGGCACGTTATGGACTCATCATTTTTCTTGTACTTTGTTTTATATAAAAGTTCCTCAAGGCAAGTTGTAAACTTACCACCAGCCATTCAAAAACAAGAATCAAGGAAAATTCGCGTATTCATTGAGAAGAACGCCGAAACTTACACGATAGACTACCTGCTCTATTTCAACAGGCAGGAAGCAATGAAGAAAGAAATATTCATTAGTTCCACTAGGTGCATTGTGAATTTTAAAAATAAGTCATAAATAAAAGAACAATGAGGATCCTGAATAGGAACATATACTCCTCCTTTCAGATAAGTTATTGACGGTATGCCAGTTCAAAAGGCAAGCCCAATTCACTTATCACTGTTCTTTAGATAAACTACTCAGCCATTTCATAAAATTTAAAACTATAAGGTAAATAAAACCAAGAAAAAGACCCAGCCGACCCCCCCCACCCTCTTCCCCCCCTTATCACCATTCTCTAATAACACATCATAACACATCTAAACACAGATTCAGCCATGAGATTAAACAAAAAAACAACATATCCCACTTAAACCTTCCCCCTCTCCAAACCTTTACATCGATTCCCTACTTCCCTATCCTCTTCCTGTAAGTCCAATAAATAGACATCTTTAGAGTAAAGCATCAATATTTATTGCACAAGATCAACCATCATTCCTAACCCTTCGTTCGGTAAAAGAGGGGTGTATTTACCCCGCACTTAAGACCTACATTGAAGGCCCTGAAATATAGGCTTTAGCTAACCACCGTGACATCGATCCTGTGCAGCAATTTTTTGTTTTTCATATAGGGATGAAGTTTGTTGAAAGTTGTGTGCTGATGAGGTAATGTCTCTGTTACTCCAAGCAAGGTGCTGGAGCCTTCTTTTTCTTTTCAGGGGATTCAGGGTGAATTTCCTTGTTGTTTTCTTGTGGAATTCGATTAGATTATATTTAAATTATTTCAGAGTAAACCTATATTTTATAATAGATAGATATAAATCAAGGGTAAATAATTATATTCGTCTTGAATCTCACTTTCCACTATTACAAAACTGTATTTTATCAAGAGGATTCTTCTTCTATTTGTGTAACTTTAATCATACTGTATATAAATAAAGATATTCTTTCCCGGTCACGCAGGACATTTTAACTAGAAAGTGAGGTAATTCACTTGTAGTGTTGTAGGTGGTAAAAGGAATTTAATGCAGAAGAAATTTTTTATAACTGAGTCTCAGGTAGAGAATTCCTTGAGAAACAATCGTACATTGATTGATAACTCGAGGGTATAGATGGACCCTGAGGAGTCTTTTATACTCGAGTTCTTAATGGGATTACAGTGGAATTTTAAAAGTTCAAAAGTTCAGTAGTTCCATGTCCAACACTCCTCATACTATCTTATCCTTTTGAATTTTCAAGATTCAATAGATTAATAGTATTAAATCCATATCATAAAAGTATACATAGTATACTAGATATGAATTATTCCTCAATCACATATTATACTACAGTCATTTAGTTCTCCTTTTTCCTTTTCAAATGAAATCAATGCTATAATCTAATTTATTAAAAGATTAAGATTATACTTTATTGAATTTCAACTTATAATTTCTAAAATATTAATATTATAAAAAAAGGTATTTCTTTAATAATAATAATAATGTTAAAAGGAATGACCTTACACAGTGAATAGTGGGAAGCTGGTAGGGCAGAACTGAGGTAATATTGGTCTAGGGTATTAATCACTCTTCATCTAAGTTCTACGGAAGTGCGAAGCTCTCCTACAGAGAGCTTCTCAATCTAGTCCTAATAGGACTAGTGCCCTGTGCACGTGCTACGCAGGAATCATTCGCTTTAACAAATAATAAGATTAAAAGTTTTTATTTTATTTTCATTTCTATTATTATCTATGATTTATTTCAAACTTGACCATATGTCTATAATTTAATAATAATGTTAAAGTGAATGGTTCCTGCGTAGCACGTGCACAGGGCACTAGTCCTATTAGGACTAGATTGAGAAGCTCTCTGTAGGAGAGCTTCGCACTTCCGTAGAACTTAGAAGAGTGATTAACCTACTAGACCAATATTACCTCAGTTCTGCCCTATCAGCTTCCCACTATTCCCTGTGTAAGGTCATTCCTTTTAACAAAATTTAAAATTACTTTCATATTCTAATTCTAGTTCCAGGTGTAGAGGAGGAAATATATATGACTAGTTTAGTCAAGTACAAAGTCTCTCGTTACTATGATTACAGATAGTAGATAGCAGACCATGGCATGCATTAATGAATGGGAAGACCATTGATATCACCAGAATGAATGAACGATTGATTGATCGATTCTCAGAAAAAGGGGCACAGAGATTACTTTCTCATGAAAGATTAAGATTAAACTACACCTAGGGTACTCGAATACATTACTTCCAAAAATCCCTACATTCACATGTTCACCGGCGCGGCCTTAAACTCCCTTTTGTCAATACAATCTTCACCAGGACATGGATACACCGGAGATGAGATGAGACTCCATATCCAAGGATCCTTAAAATTGCACTTTTACTGTTCGAACCTTGAAGGTCATCGCAAATTGCATGGTCATATTAGGATCACTAGTCTGATAGACGTTCTAGTCAAGACGGAACCATAGCCAATTCTCACAAAGTGCTTATTAGCGGGAAGCCTCTAATTTCTCACTCATATCCAAGAGATACGCGGGAGATATAGGAACGGGACGCCCAAAACATCAAGATAAGCGGACGATATGGCGCCGTATTGACTCTTTACAGTTCAAGAGGATAAGGTTAATCTAGACAACAAAGATTTCCGCAGTTACCGCCATGTCCAAGTATAAACTCAGGTCTATTCTAGACCCATCATATCATCTATTTGGTTCAAAATCCAAGACGATCAAACCAAGAAACAAAACTCCCGTCTAAAAAACCAATCCATTCATCGGGCCTTTTCGATTATCCGGATCCGGGGTACATGACCATATGTGGAGGAAATCTGGGGACCCCAAGCAAAGGATGTAAGCGCCAACCAGTATGAAGACCACTAAGCCCCGTACATGACCAATGAGGAATTAGGACTAGGTTCGGAACAATACCGAGGAGGTCATTGAGTGCCGATGTTTGTACTGATGTAGATGAAAGGAGTAAAAGACGGAAGGATGTCTGGTGATGTGGTGGTACAAGTGAGTAAGTTTGTGGGGTAAAAGGTTAAGGTCAAGGTCAAGGTCAAGTGTGATATTGTACCAAGTAGAAATTTCAATGGTAGAACCTATAAGACTTTGAGGTCTAGAATTATGCAAACAGGAGGCGTGAGAGGACGTGAGAGGCGTGATTCGGTGGTATTGTGGAGATGAAAAGATCTTTTTAGCATGGCGCTATATATCTCCAGGTTTTTGATCTCCGTGAAAAAAGCTTATCATCATCAAACTAATAATGATATGGTCTCCTGATAAAAAGTCAGGAGAATTTTAAGGAAGGAGAATGATTAATCGTTTTGATAATCCAAATGTTTGTTGGTCTGGAGAACAAGAAAAAACTCGTTGTTGGCAAATTCAGGAACAACGTCGCATGACTATAAATTTGATGTGTGAAGTAGACGAATGAAATGTTAGGGAAGAAGTTATTCCGTCCGTTCTTGTCAGCTTTCTATCACATGGGGTTATTTACATGTAGTGGAAAAAGGAAATAATGAGGATATACACGTGAGGTGAACATTATTCATGTTATCCATAGTTTGGTAAAAATTGGAGACGGGGGAAGCAAGTGATTGTAGATGTATTGTGAATGATTGTGATGATTGTAGATGACTGCATTGCATTGTTAGAATAACGATAATGATGATAATGATAATGATACTAATGATGTTAAAAGTCCAGATCACCAAACCATCCATATCATCCAAATCATGAGGCTCATCCCAGTCTGTGCTCTAGAAGGTTGATTGCAGTCCAAACATCCAAACATCTTCTCTGCATTATGGAATGTTCTCCGCATTCTTCCTTTTTGGAAAAGCATGACTTTCGGTCCTTTTCTTCCATTTGTTCGGGTTGATGTGAGTGGTGTGTGTGTGCGTGCGTGGGTGTTTGATAACCGTCTGTACATACATGTTGTTGTATGCTGTGTTGCATAGATGCACGATGCATCCAGTGCCTACCCAGCCGTGGTATGCCGTGAATTGGGATATCATATCCGAATAATCATGTGATTGATTCTTCGGTAGGGCTTGGAGAAGAGTTTCATTTAATTTTATACTTTGGTTTACCACTTTTCCACTTTACCAAACTCTCTTTGAATACCTAGTAGGCAATGAATAATTCTAGGTACAGTACATAGAAGAATATAACTCGTATCGAATTTAGCGATCATAATCCTCTGATTTATTGTAGCTAACTTGACGGGTAATGCAAAATCCAGACCGAAAGTCTTTTTATCCCATCGCATTCAATCATCGCACTGATCGCATTGATCACACCTTACAAAACTTTTTCCAAATGAAAAGCTTTTCCTCTTTTCTTTTTTTCTTCACATCTCCAATTTTTCTATCCAGCTCAGACTGAAACTCGGATTTCTAAGAAATGGGTTCGTGTCACTCGTGTCATCTGTATTATTGTGCCACTGTCCTGGAGTACAGTCCTTGGTAGTTTGAACTGATTTATGTCATACTCTGTAGAGTTTTTCTTGGTGCCTTCTGTTGCAGAATTAGGGTGCAGTTAATGTAAATGATAGGCACTCGAGTACTATTTTAGTAGTGATCTGAGTTAAATATTCCGGTGAGGAAGAATGAGGAAGAATGGAGTGAAGATCCTTTATTTTTTCCTTTCCGCTCTAAATAAAATGGTGCCTGATTCGTGTGATGTTTCCCGAGCATGATGGTGATACAACTCCATAGTGCATTATCATGCGTCTGGAAATTGGGTGCATGTCAAACTGCACAAGGTATTGGTTGAAAAAGTACGAAATGTCGAATGGCGGAATATCGTACAAAATAGAATTACTAGGAATAGAAATAGTAACATCTTTACAAAGGTTACTGCTTTGTACGTACTGTGCTCTCTCTCCTTCTCTCTGTACAACGGTATTCCGTAACACAACACAAGAGGAAAATGCCCATGAATCCCATGAGTTTTCAAGGAGGACAGCGAGGAATATACGTGAGTGGCTTGACTTGGCCGTGGTCGGCACAAATAAGGTTCATTTACAAGTACTAAGCTAAGTAACCTCGGTAAATGCTGCTGTACAACCAAATACATATTATAGAAATTGATTAATTGAAAGAATCCTACGTACAATATAATATCCTTGTGCCGTTATGATCGATCTATCAAGATTCGAGCCATCTCTATCCCTTCACCTTATGGTTTGTACTAGGTACTAGGTAGTTGCTCGCCATTCCAATAAAACGGAACAATGTAACTTTGGTGACAGCTCGCAACTTTTTGGAAATGATTATGTACATACTACAAAGTATGTTAAGAATGGCAAGGCAAGCGCCAAACCGATCAGCAGCTGTTCAAATGAAATAGAAGACGCGAAGAATTCTTGGCATCCACTTATTCATTGAGTTGATGCAGAAAAATTGACTACGGAGGGCAGGAAAAACCAGTCAGATCGGTTATGTCGCCTGAATTCACCATAAGAGGGAAAGAGACATGAGCAAGGATTTTATCCATGCACTTTGATACTATATATCTGCATTAGTCTTCATCTCCGTGCGAGTGACGATTGGTTTGACAAACTTTTAGTATGCTTCGGAGAAATATCCCAATCGAGACTTGGTAAATCTCGGGGTGGACAAAAGGAAACGAAGAGTAATATATTTAGGAAAAGTGTTGGTTTGAGGTGAATGATTGGATGGATTGGATGGATGATTGAGATGATGTTATGATGGGTGAAGGGATCGGATTAATTAATGGATGGTTTTAACAAAATGTGAAATAATAATAAATATTTGGTAGAGTGTGGGAGAGGATCTGGGAAATATCTGGTAAGTATGGGGGAGGATTATGAATACATGAATACATGAATACATGAATACCAGTAGCTGAATGATGAGATGATGGATGGTTTGATTACGTGATGGATACCTACCTACCTACCTACAGTAGATTTGATGAAAGTCCAAGGTACGGACATGATCATTTTTATGCTGTAGTACCTACTGGTCAGCTTTCTCCTTTCCCTCTTTGAGCAGATCAACTTGTAGATGAGGAAATGCTTGGACGAATCAAATCGGGTGGCGTCGATAATTCGTATAGATGACTTGATTGAATGAGGGTTTGGGAGTGCTTTGATAGGATAGGATGGAGGAGAACACGGTAGAGACTCGAGAGTAGGATAGAATAGGCTACAGCCTTCAATTGGTGAAGAGAAGACGGCGTAAGAAAATGGCCATTGCATTGCTGAAGCTAAAAGAATTCTTGATCATGGCGATACCTATTCTGTCGCCCGTGGAGGGAGCCGTCTTAATGTGGGTTTATTCATCTCCTGGGTACAGGAGATGAATGGTGCGGGAGATGAAAGATTGATCTTGATTGGTTCCGATGGACTTCAGGTGGGAGACAATGATAACCTCAGGCTTACTGATGTTGATCGTCGATATCAACATACATCGATGCCATTTTTGAACTTCTTTTTCAGTATATCCTCCAAGTGCTACTAGATGCAAACCCGTGTGACGATGTATTTTGGAATGATGCAGAGTGGATTTGGTATGAAAGCTTGTTTAAAGTTTTGACACATACTTTCCGTAAGTTAGTTGTGATCCCCCTTTGATCAGGACGAAGATCCAGATGTGTGTGGTTGGAGTTTGAACGTCCTCAATCTGTAGTACTCTCCAGGTCATACAACATATTGGATAAACTTTAAACTCTTGCTTGAATGTAATTACCTAGAGACGTGACTTTATAACTTCATATGTTCATCTTCGATCTTTTGAATTCTTGACCTCATTCAAATCCTTGATTTACTCTTGGCTTTCATCTCATCTCTTCTCTATGATTCTTTGCCATCGGTATCCCACAACTGCATTCTCTTGGTATTATTCATCCATCATCTTCCTACAGCAGCCAGCCACTCCAAAGTCGAATAGATCAGGACGTACAACTCCTTTTTTTCAACCAGAGTCAGGTGTATATGTATGTATTATTTCCGTCTCATTTCGAATCGAACTTGTTAATGCTATTGGTATATGGAATGCTAAAGCCATCTTTGAAGCTGACACAGGCTATTTGTTACGTTACCTGCGGAGAAGAGACTTGCTGGAACCCTGGAGCAAGAAAAGGCGTAGGGAAGGGGTTGAAGAATTAACAGCCATCCTTGGCTTTTTCACATTCGACCAAAAAGAGTAAAGGAGGGAAACACTGTGATTTGTTTGATTTTGATGTACAGTTAGTTCATTAACAAAAAGGCAAAAACTGGAAAGAAGAGGAAGAGGATAAACGAACCACGTCGATGGGACATTACCGGTATATCTCCTAGTTGTCACAGTACATGAAAGGAACAGTATATCATTCTTTTTTAATTGGATTCGGAGAGTTTTTCCATCAGCTAAAGACGGAGGAAGCTACCAAAACTACCCAAACTACCAAACCCTACATCCCAATCCAACCCTCGACTTTTTTCTCGAATCCATCCATCCATCCATTCTCTAATAACACGGACCCTCGACATTCATTTTCTTACTTCAAACTTCCCGCCCTCACACTTCCAATTTCACCCATCATCATAATAAGCATTTGAGTATCTGTATCTGTCTGTTCTGACATCTCACAAAATTCAACCCTCAGTGAGTCTGTCAGTTATTATTACTCTTTACCTCACTCTACCATATCCATTCATCCATCATCCATCCATCTAAGCCACAAACCACCACACCACCATACACACACCCACCATACACACACCCACCATACACACACCCACCATACACACACCCACCATACACACACCCACCATACACACACCCACCACACCCACCACCCCAGCACATCCACCCACCTTAGCTACACCTCTAATTCAATTTCCACACTTCAACCACCTCAAATATCCACCACACAATACCGGCTACCGACTTTTACGAATCCCTCACACTTGACACTTTTTACACCTCACACTTCACACTTCACACCCTCCTCACACCTCTCTCTTCCTCTCTCTCTTTCCCTCCTTCAACCATATCCACCCATTTCCACACCACACCCATCTTGATCCACCCATTTGGTCCCACATTTATTAGCATTTCAACCACTTCAATCACTTCCATCACTTCCATCACTTCAACCACTCAACTGTCACTTCATCGACTCCTCCGAATCCACCTTAAATGTCAACAAACAAGCCTAAGCTTCATCCATTGTTTTCTTCCCTTTTACTTCTCTCCCAAACAATCCTCGAAAAAACCTTACAACCTTCAAATCACATTAAACCCTTGAAACGAATCGGAAATTTTTTTAATTTCTTGTTTACCCATTTCAATTTAT